TCGATCTTTTTTCGCGAGGATCGTTTGCCCATTGATCAGGTGAAGAATCTCTGACGCATTCTCTATATAATCTGCCGCAGAAATTATCACATTGAAGTAGGAGCTGAAATTTGAGGGTGAAAAAATGATGACTCAACATGACCGAGGCATCACTAAATTATCCATATAATGACCTTTCTGAAGACCACAGCTCCAATGCTTACCTCTGGTGCAAGAAAACCTTTAATTTTTTGGCTTGCCACATTGGAAAAATATACCAGAGAGTCCCTTGGCGATAGAAATAGATGAGTCGTCAGCATCACACGGTTTATTTTTGCAGAGAATAGACCCTCGGCGTTCAACAATTTAGCCACTGAGCCATTCTATCTTCTCTAATTAAAAAATTTGATTGGTGTTGAGGACCATCTAAACCACTATTTGCTGGAGAAAGCCTGCCATTAAAAAACCGCACAGTGCTGGAGTGTTTCTAATAAGAATTTGCTAATTTCTATTGTTATTTTTTGGCAACCAAATGACTTTTTTCGCCATAATATCCATCCTATTACACCACATTAGTAGCCAACAGAGTTAGCCTAGCCACAAATGAGGAGTGTAAATGAGTGGAAAAAATGGCTTTTTATATTTGAATTTATTTTTCTATGCAGTAATTGTTAGCTAAGTTTTCTATCAATTTATACCTTAAGCCAAGCTGTAAATGGTATAAACTATTGCCAACAAATGCCAACGAAGCTGAGACTCTATTTCCTCCCCACCTCATCTACTTTTTAAGCGTGAATATTTACCGCTGCTTGCCGTATAACCAGTAAACGTTCTCGCATAATGCGTTCGAAAATACATATGAAAAGTATCTTCGCTGAAATCCCATCCTCCTCCATTTTCATTTTCATTCGCCGATATTTTGAGTCGATTGTTCTAAAGTTGATCGATTCAAGTTGTGTTCCTTGAAGAAAATTTCATCCACCAATTTTTTGCTCGTCGGAACTGTTTCCTTCTAAGCTTCCTGCTTCCTTCTAAGCTATTCCCATCATCGTTTCCTTCACATTCACGTTGGTATTCGTCATTTAATGTTTGCGCTTCTAGTTCTCGAAATGCGGAAAAGCGACGTAAATATGATAAATTAGCAAAATTGAAAACATATTTCGAAAAAGTTGAAGCTAATAGCTCATCACCAATATAATCGTAAAGAAATATTGGTCGAATGCATAAAATCTTTTTTAGAGAATTGAAGAAGTCGGATTGACAATTTGTTTTCGATACACCAGTATCGTAAACTTTGTAATCACACGAATTAATGTGATATCTTAGCTGCCTGGGTTGGTACCAACCACAAAACCAGGTTGGATAAGCTATAGAATTGAATACTTCAATTCTATCTGGTTGCGTGCTTATTTTCCGTGCTACTTCAAGTTCTTCGTCGCTATCCTATAGCTCTTTCGCTCATTACTTTTTAAAATTGCATTATCACGATTCTGTAGCCAAAATCTTCATTATATCGATAATTTTGACATTTGTTAATAATAATATTAATAATATTTTTAATAATATTATTATTTTAAAAAATCTTTCCAAATGTTTTAAATGCCTTAAATATTTTTGATGGAAAATTTTGCAAGTCCACAAAGGACGCGAATGGCAAAAGTATTCTTCAAACATAATTCAATATAAATTATCAGTTAAAGCAAAAGAAAACAATAGAATGGAGTTTTTAGATGATAAGAAATTATGTTAAATTTTAGAAACGCAAAGGATTGAAGGATTGAGGTAAAATTTAAAATTCATGTATAATTAGAAATTAATCGGCCAGTTCAAATGCATAATTTTGGAAGAGAATGGAGAAAGTGAACAGAAAAATAATTCGTTGAGACGAACCGAAGAAATCATCGTCTTCTGCGTTTGACCTGACTGAATGGCTTTGAGAAATATCATAAACAAGGAATAACGGAACCTCTCCAGTTCATAACACCCAAAAAATGTAATTTGTCTTATAGGAATGTAATTTGCCTTTTAGTTTGAATACTGCAAATATTTTAAGGGCAATGATTAAAATTAGCAAACATGAACATGTTACTTAATATTTTCCTAAATCTCCTCAATTAAATTCTTTTAATAAGTCTTCGAAAACTTATTATAATCCTTATTATAATCCTGCTCCGCCAATATATCCAGTCACTTTGATATTATGGTTTGAAATTTCGCAATTTATAGCTACTAAAGTGGTAAGAATGTGAGATTTTATATGGAACGAAAGAAGTAAAATACGAATATTAATAAGTGACAACTGGATCTAATTGAGTTGCCACAAAAATGGTACTACCAGCAAATTGTGGCAGATCAACGAGATTTCTGAGGCATTAATTTTTTCTCAGATATTAGTTTACCATCATTCGTTGAATTAACTTGTGATTAGTGAAATTATAAAAATGCTGATTAATTTTTGAAAAATATAAATAATTTAAAAAATATATATTTAAAATATAATATACATAAATTTATATATATATTTATAAATATATATAAATATATATATTTACAATATAATATATATAAAATATAATATATACATTTAAAATATAATATATATAATATAATGTAATATAAAAAAAATATATATTTAAGAATACCACAAATTTTTTTGGGGCGCCATAGCCTATTACTGGTTCATATTAATACTATGTTTTTGCATATATTTCTTTCTTTTACATTCGCATCCTTTTAATTTTACCCTGTAATGCCCTTAGCAATCGTCAAATTAATTGTTAAAAAGAAAATAGATGGAAGTAATAATAGTCTCGGCTGCCATGGAACTGGGCTTTAATCATACATATATTTTCTTTGAACAGGCACTGAATATTTTTTCTTAGGAAGAAACATTTCAGACCCGTATAATCAGAATTTTATCCTCAAATTCGGGTAATTAAATTGTGGACGCGAAAATAACAATAAAATAAAATTAAAAAGATAAAAATAAAATTAAATAATATTGAAAAAACTATATTGAAATATTGAAAAAAAACAAAATGAAAAATTTGGTCAATAAAATAAAATGATTAATTCTAATTATATTAATTATAATATTTAATAAAAAATGTGAAAAAAAAATATTTTGGTCGATCGCGTTGGCCCGAATTAAACGATACGAAAAAATCGTTTGGTGAATGCAATGACCTTACGAAACGAATTAATTCAAAGTTGAGGTCAATTCCTCCTCGTCGAGAAATTAGCTAAGGAATTGACCTCCATTAAAAAATATAAAATTTTCATATAAAATTAAAATAATAAATAAATAAGTTCTTTGGCGGGTTGGAGTCACTAATTTAATAAATTTGGGAAAAATCGAATTTTGCGGCAATCATAAATTTCATTTTTCGCCCTTTAGTTATTAACTACTAATTGCATTGCATTTATTTGCAATAAAAAAAAATATTGAAACGAGACGATTTCATACTTTCACATTTCATTTTAATTCCTCTGCCATATACTTAAAGAAATTTTTTTTTCCATTTATTCTGTTTCAATTTTCTCATTTTTAATTTTTAAATTTGAAATTAATCTAAGCAAAACATTTCATTCGAATATTCCTCAAATTCCTCAAATTACTATTTTATTATTATTGGTTATATTAATATTATTATTATCATTATTATTATTGTCTACAGGCAATACAAGGCCGTAGAGTGGTACCAACTAGAATTTTTTAATAGTTGGTTTATTTTCGCTTCAAGGTCAGGAAATTGAACTTAGAATTGCGCTTCTGGCAGTCATCATCGATTGGAGTAAATGGTGCGCGATAGGATTGATAAATGCAGTGGATTGCAATTAATATAACTTGTGAATCAGTTCTGTTGAAAAATTTCGAAAATATGGAAGGGAAAACTGTACAGTAGAAAGAGATTTGAAAGGATTCGGAGCCAGAAACGCGGTGAAAGGTGTGTGAGGTGCGATAAGCTCTTCAAATTTGGTTATTGCCATTTTAATAAAATTTATGTGATAAATCAGTATTTTTTTCAAATGACAATAAGAGCGACAAAAAAATTCGGAAATCTATTCAACCTAAAATCATTTGTTCTGAAACAATAGGTTTATAGTAGAAAAATGTAATATGCGTTAAAATACAAAAATTAGCACATAGAATGAATTAATTTTTTAATTAATAAGTTCTCAATTTGCAGCGCCGACACTGTGGTTCTACTCTCGACACTAGTAAATAGATCAGTGGTAAATATAATGCCAAATTTCTGTTAATTTTTTTGTGAACTATAAAAGAAGCATAAAAAAAAATTTTGTTATATTTTATTATTTTATTTTATTTTATTATATATATATATATATATATAATTTATATTTTATATGTATCAAAGTGAAATTCAAGCAAAAATTGTTATATCATATCATATCATATCATTATTTCCTGCGTTTATTGTTGATGAAATTGCCAAAAGTTAGGTTATATGTTATGTCATAGTTACTCAAAAAAATATATAGGAAAAGACCTGCAATAAAAATATATGATAATATAAAAATACAAGTTAAGATTTTTCAAACTGTATGAAATGATTATTTTAAGAGTTAAAAAGTGATAAAAAAAATGAGAAATAAGATAAAAATTGTTCGAAAATTTCATTATTTCCAAACGAAAACACAAAATGTTGAATACAATTGTGTCGTATCGTATAAATCCGGCATTACTTTGCTAGGTAAAAATATATTTTAATAGATTAAAACAGGTAAAAATGGTTCATAAATTATACCTTAAGATGCTTGTTTTCAAGCAATTTCTGGGATCTGTGATCAATTCTTTATTTTCAGTCAGCTAAGCCGCTAGCAAAAGATATGCAAATTCTATTTAAAAAAATTTTAAGATCTTAAAACAAATTGAATATTCAAATTTTAAAATTAAAATTAGAATTAAATATTAAAATAGATAAAAAAATTGAAGAGAAAAGCTAAAAATTATAAAAATGAATTTTTATGCGGAGAAAAATTTATTTTGCCATTGGCTTTAACCAAATAGATTAATCTTCTTTACATTTGCCCTCGGGGCACAAACATCGGTCGGCTATTACGAATTTTAATGCAATAGTGTAGATTAATTGAAACAGTTGCTAGAATGATTTCATCCGACTCCACGATGAGGTTGCCTTAGGGTCAACTGACCGTTGCATAAATATGAACCTATATTTTATTAATAATGTTAATGTGGAAAACTAAGAAAGGTTTGGCGGTTTAGTGAAATAGATGGTGGTTTCTGCGTTTACGGGGTTCTTATCTGACTTTTTGTGAAACATTTTTTAGAGTTATTGAACGCCTTATCGAGCTAATTTAATTAGCAATGGTAGTCTTAGAAAAAAAAAACCGTAAATTGTGCAATGAAAAATGGAAGGGATGAATGGTTCTTTAAATTTACTGAGATTTTATGATTACTATTTTAATTTATTTTTAATTATTATTTTTAATTTAACAGTTTTTTTGTTCGATATTAATTGAAACGGTTTTTTGATGATTTCTCGAGAAATGCACTTTTCATCGTTTTGACTTCGCTAGACAAGCACAATATGCAGCAATAATTCGTGAAGACGAAGGATTATTGTTGAACCATTGTGCGATAGCATTTCCCTATTCATCGAACGATGGTCATTCTTACATAATGATAAGCAATGATTACGAATGGATAGGGAGACATTCCATGGCTCAATAGCGTAGTTGTAAAATTACTGAACAATGACGAATGAGGAGAATGTTCACAATTTCAATTTAATATATCCTAAGCAAATTTCGTTTTAGACTGATAACAATTGCTTCTCAACAGGGAAAATGCACAAATTTCATCAATAATTCTTCGCTTTCGGGATTTATTGCGAATCTTTTGTGCATTAATGTGTTAAGAATGGTTGAAGTCAGGTGAAATGACAAATAGAAAATTGCGCAATTTAATGAATCCATTCGCTAATCCAACGGCCATATAGAAATATATCTTCGAAAGCACAAATTATAAATAAGGAATACAAGGATATAATTATTGTAAAACTAATATTGTAAAAAATTATTGGTGGGAATAGAATGGCTAAGTGTTGCTCATTCGCCGATGCTGAAGTTCGGTTCCCCACAGGAGAAAGCCTGTGCAAAAATTCGGGTGATGCTGGCGCTTCACCTGTACTTCTATCATCAAGGGATTCTCTGGCATATTGCCCAACGCGATAAGCCAGTGGAGCGAGTTTCACCAGTAATGGTGAGTGCTCTTTAAAAAAACTTAGCAATACCGCATTAATACTAAACGACACAACTGTATAAGTAATATTTTAATAGTTTGTTTTTCTTCTTTCGTATTTTCGTCGTAAATTTTTGGTAATTATGAACTATTCGAAAAATTTATTTTTCAATTTGTAACCTTTGCATGTCCGTTTTATAGAATTTGAAAAAACTTAATTTTATATAATTTTATTACAAAATTCTTTTATATATATATATATATATATATGAGAATCGAAGCCATGAATTGCCATAAATTGTTATAATATTTCTTGCCAACGTTTTTGGTTACGTTGGTCTGTCGGACCAAATTTTGCCAAAGAGTCACTTAACTAAAGAAGTATAATCGCCAGCGTTAACAGGATTTTTTACAGACGAGTTTACTCCAACAGGAAATAGAATTCTAGTAAGGACGCCTCGAAATAAGCCAACATTGAGCCATTCTGCCCTAACATTATTAAATTATATCGAAAAATTAAAATTTATTTTATGAAGATTTTCCCTCGTTTAAAATTCAATATAGCAAATCATTTTCACCTTTGTTTGCACTTGAATTGTTAAATTCAATTTTATTTTTTTTTCTTTTGTAAAGGATTAAATTTCCAAATTTCTAAAAAATTATTTTCGGCTCTCTGTTGTACAATCGTTGATTACGATTTTCTCGTTTGGCAATTCTTAAGCTTCAAAACATTTCTTCATTTTCATAATTTCCATGTGCCAATTTTCATGTCGATTTGGCTGACTGTTTTTAGCTGTAAGACTAAGGCGCTTCAGACTTTTTTTCTTCTTTTTTTTCTTTATAATCATTTTTTGAAATTTTTATTGCTAATTTTAAGTCTCTTTAAGAATCGAAACATTATCATAGTTGATGAACTTAACGAAATCGATGGTCAATAAAATTTTTGAATTTGCAACACAATACGCGATTAATACGAAAACGACGCGAGTGTTTTAGAAATATTTTAATAGTTTGTTTTTTCTTTTTTCGTCTTATAATCGTCGTAAATTTTTGGTACTTTTTTTCATAGGTTCTCTTCCGATTAAATTTTATATGGCTCATCCAAAACCTCACCGAAAAAGCAGATTGCTGCTGTTCGAACCGTTGCACATTCCATATTAATCGACCGTTCTAAACCACTAAATTATGAACCATTCGAATAATTTATTTCTCACCATTTAAATTCACCTATGCCCGTTTCATATAACTTTAAAGAAATCTGAATTATATTCAAAGTTAATTTTATATATTTTATATATACATTTTTTTGAATAGCGATAATAAGCAAGCCTTGAATGATTTCGAATGAATTATCCAGTATTTCTTTTAAATGCTCGACGCAAAAATTTCTAGCCCGAACAGCGAAATTTTGCCAGTATTTGCTTGCTTGTTGAACTATAATCGCCAGCATTAACTCGGATTGTTGAAAGATTTAAAAAAAAGTCTAAGGATTAAAAGTGCTAAATACTTATCAGCAAAAAACAAACTCGTCGTTCTCTTATTCTTATTATCGTCGTCTTATTCTCTTTCATAAATCGGCTATCAATCTCAGTTATCAAATTCAAAAATTTTCGAACATTTACAATTATCCTTCCATATCAAATATCAATTTATCATTTTTTAAAAATTTTATAAATTCTAGAAAGATTTTTTGGTTTAATTTCACCTGTATTTCCAGTAATTTTTTAATTTTTTTAAATTAATTAATTAGTTTAATTTTTTAATTTCCCAAATTGTCTCAAAGCAAATGGATTAATTAATAAGATAATTTAAAAAAAGGCGAAAATTTTTTTGATTATTACCATCGTTATTTGATGTAATACATTTTATAAAGTTTGATATAATACATTTTATAAATTTATAAAAATATTTAAAATTTCACATATACGCTGAAAAATCAGCGAAACTTCTTGTATAATGGAATTTTGGAAAATATTTACACTGAAATTTCATCCTAAACCAATTATTAGAATATCACTTCCAGTAATTTTGTTTTGTGTGATAATGGCTTATGAAAGTGAAAATTTTGTGGATGAGATTTGAAGCGACTCTGATATTCGTCAGAGTCAAAGTCCTTCGACGAGTTCAGCTAACGATTTCTTTGATTTGTTCAAAAGTTTCCTTTTCCATTCGTCGATTTCCAAAATTATTGCACGTCAGAAATATTTGAGACATTTAAAAAATTTGGAGAAATATTTTTAGAAGCAAAAATATCACCAGCAAAGCACTAAATTATCGTTATTACTGTAACAGTTACTATAGAATTTTCATGGACGACAATACAATTATGGAAAATAACGAAGGAAAGCGTTATAGGTTAATCAGCGACGAAGAAATTGAAGTGGCGAGGAAAATAAGCATTCTTTCGCGATTGCAGCCGAATAGAATTGAAGTGTTCGATGTTATGTGTTGACCAACTTGTTCGTGTAATTGGTGCCAATCGAAACAACCGTTATGCCACATTAATTCGTGGGATTACAAAATTTACGACACTGGAGAATATACACTGTTGCGAAAAATAATTATCCATCTGAGTTCGCCGATTCATCAAAAAAGATTTTGTGCATTCGACCGATATTTCTCGATGATTAAATGGGAGGCAATGAAAAATTGCCTGCAATTTTTCCAAAATTTACTTTTAATTTTTTGAATTTGTCATATTTACGGCGCTTTTCTGCTTGGCGAGAGCTGGAAATGCGAGCTGGAAATGATGATTCTGACAATTTGTAGAAGTGAATATGAAGAAAGTAAAGATGAGAATAGCTCAGTGGAAAGCGGGTCTTTACTCGACGAGGAAAGAACTGGTGGAACAAAATTTTGTTCAAGGTGCACAAATTAAACCGATTATATTGAAACAATCGACTATGAACGATTGTGAAAGCGATGACGGAGAAGGAGACGAGGTTTCAACGAAAACGCTTTCCATACCTATTTTCAAACTCATTATGCAGGAACATTCAAATATATCTGAATATATCGCCGTTTCGCGCGACAACTTCGATAAGAATGAATTGTGCGATAATCTTTTAGAATTTTTAAGATTTTAAAATATTTAAAAACAATAAAATGATATTTAATATGGCAAATTAGTAAACGCTCGAGAACTTTTGAATTTGATAATTGAAACTGATAAGAAATTATCGAATGAAAGGCATTGAGTTTAATTTTGGCAAATAAGCACTCGTCACTTTTAATTTTCTTCAATTCTTTTGCTCTTTTTTTGCTTTAAAAGCGCAAAAAGGGCCAAAAGGAAAATGAAAAATTCTTAGTGACTGTCATTCCAAAAAAATTTATTCGAATTAATGGAGATTGAAATTTTTTGGTTCTTTTTAAAAATTTTTTTGAAACGTGTTTTTTCAATTCCTTACGAAACGTTATTGCTGCAATTTCGACTTTTTGTTTAAAATTTTTATTTTTTTCGATTCGATTTGTTGTAAATAAATAGATCGTTATCAATTTGCAATTATCAAATCGTTATCAGTTTACCAGTTTTTTTCTCGATTTGTTTTAAACGCGAAATTTAAATTTATTGAATTATTCGATCTGCAAAAATGCGGCATACGGGTTTTTTTGGTTCGAAATAACTGCAATCAGGATTTAAGGATAATAATCATTGGGAATGACTCAGTGAGTTGTTGCTAAATTTAGAGCGCCGATACTGAGGTTCGATCCCCCCCCGGGAGTAAACCCGTCCAAAAATCCGGATGATGCTGGCGACTCACCTGTACTTCTATCGCCAAAAAACTCGCTGACGATGCGGCAAGCCAACCGACCGACTTTAACCAATAATGATGATTCTTAAAAAAAAGAAAGAAATCATTGAAAGAATAGAATTGTGAAAGAAGTTGAGTGCCACCAAATCTTTTGCGTTATTCATAAGGCTTTTTCCAACTTTTAGCAACTTTATCCCATTAATCAAAAATGAAAATAAACAACGATAAGCTGATAATTTACGAGGAAAAATTTTTATCAATTTAAATTCGCCATAATATAAAAAAAATAAAATTTTTTTTTTATTTTTCGTAAAAAACGTAATAAAACACTACAAACCTATTGTTTCAGAATAAACGTTAATTTTAGGTTGAATATAATCCCGAATTTTTTTGTCGCTCATATTGCCGTTTGAAAAAATGATGCTGATCTATCACATAATTTTTATTAAAATGGCTGTAGGCAACAACCAAATTTGAAGAGCATTATCGCACCTCACACACCTTTCACCGCGTTTCTGGTTCCGAACCCTTTCAAATCTCTTTTTACTGTACAGTTTTCCTCTTCTTTTTCCCTTCCATATTTTTGAAATTTTTCAGCAGAACTATTTCACAAGCAATTTCAATCCACCGCATTTATCAATCCTATCGCGTACCATTTACTGCAATCGATGACGACTGCCAGGAGCATAATTTTAGGTTCAATTTTCTGACCTTGAAGCGGAAATAAATCAGCTATAAATCAACAACTATTAAGAAATCCGGTTGGTATAGCTTGTAAACAATTAAAAATTAAAACTGCATTTGATTCGACAATTATATCGATAAAAATTATAATCTTTTTTATCCAATTTATTCATACTATATCAAATAATAATGCCTCAATATTGTAGCAATGAACATCGACTTCGAATAATCCATTACGACCGCTTTTATTATAAATTATATAGCAATAAATCCTTTGAAGACCATTTGCTTAAAAAATGCCAACAATAATTTGCAGCAATTGACAAACAAAACTGCAATAACAAACTAAATCTAATCAAAATAACTACGAATTAACAAGGAAAAATCATAACATTGTTAACAAAGCTTAAAATATCGACAATATAACAAAATAAAGCGGTCGAAGTTCGAGAAAAACGTTCACTTCGCATTGATATTGGAAAGGCGAAAAAAACGCATAAAAACTGAGAAAAATAAGAAAACTGGGAATTACTATTAATAACTAAAATTATGATTATTTCGCTTCAATGAATGCTTCTTTTTGCAAAACATTGGAAGAATAAGCTGGAAATGAAAATGTTATCTCACTATTAACAACTTTTCCCGACAAATTCAACACAATTTGCAATTTCAGTTGAATTAATTCGAATCAACAACAAAAAATTGCGAAAAACAATAAAAAAGAAATTAAAAAGATAGAAAAATTTAGGAAAACCTGAAAAAATCAGCTCTGGGAAAATATCTAAGAATTTAACAATTTAACAATGATAATAATAACAAATAATGTCCAAATAAAATATTCTGATATTCCGAAGCTGATATTAAGTTTGAAAATAATTTAAGAGAAAGTCAAACCCACGACTTTTGTTTCAAATAAATTTGAAAAAAAATTGACAGCATCGATACGATGAAATCCAATTAAGACTTATTATCAAGTACAAGTGTAAGAACTGCCATCCTTACATACATACCATTTTTGGCTTGATGGAAATAAACAGCACGTTCATCGCTATCCACTTCAGTACATATTTCATTCACTCTCGGTAGTGGATGCATGACTATGGGTAATTGTCGCTCACGCCCTATAAAAATAAAAATTTTTACATATATACAAAAAATATTGGTAATAAAACATAATATTAGAAAAAATTCTCAGAAATAAGAAAATCTACAAATAATTATGTGAATAAAATGATAACAAAAGATTAAAAAATGGAATTAATACATTTTTTATAATTTTTGATAACAAAATTTATAAAACATCATTGAACATTGATGCAAAATATGGAAATGGAGAAATGGAGAACAAATGAAAGTGAAAAGAAATGGTAAAACTAGAATAAACAATTTTAACTTCGAACCCAAACCATAGTGAAATTATTTCGAAACGATATGCAAAATGCGTTATTTTGAAGGCAGTTTCAAAATTTTTCAGAATTATTCTATAACAAAAAATGATAAATGGAAATGGAATATTGAGTATGAAAATAAGGACTTTCGTTTGCCATTAGAAATTAGAGCTTTAAATTATCAGAAATTAACGACCAACGATTTTGAATTGCTCAGAGATATTGCCCTCATTTGGATGCATCGATGTTAGACATATCTTTCAAAAATCAGTGTAGCGACTAATCAATATCTGCTATTAACAACTCCTTAATCCCCTAGCAATCCCCCGGGAAGGTTAGCATGATAAATTTAAATGACATGACAGAAATGACCAGTGTTCTTAGTGTTCTTAGCATTGGTAACAAATCATGTTAACAGCTGAATATTCTATAGACTAAAAAATTAAATGCGAATCTAATTTAGGTCCCATAAGTTTTAAAAAGTATACATTAAGATTAAAGTAAATGTAATAAATAAAAAAGAAAAGGAAGATGAAGATAACACTATATAGCGGTAGCAAATGTCTTAAATTTTTTAAAACATTTCGACCATTAAAAAATAAACAGAATTATCGCTGATTAAGAGTTCAGGCGAATTTGCAAATAACAAACATGAAGCAAAATTTTAAAAGATTCTGAGACATCAATATTACACTATATTTTCAACAAACTCAATTTCTTATTTTAAAAATAGAATTAACGAAGAAAAAAAATTGTTAAATTAGGTTAGAATTTAAATTTCAAATTATATTTTTTAAAAAATTACCTTTTCGAGTTAACTTCTGAAGATGCGATACTTGATTCAATAGTTTTTGCGTCAAAACAAAATTATTTTTCACTTTTTCATATTCTTCTAATGAAACGAATCGTTCCTTTTGAATTCTCGTCATATAAACGACATCGACGCCACGTATTCCTTCAGCAAGATCAGTGAATATTTTCTGAAAATCGAATTCTTTCAATATTTCTTTCAAAATTTATGCTCTCGATAATAAAAAATAGTGATGCGAATCAATTACAAAAAAATAAAAAGAATGACCTGTTCAAACCCATGTCTTGCGACATAATCAACAATATTCTGTGGCATAGCAAGTTTTTCAGATGGAATTACATAATGTAAAGTAATTCCAGTATAAAGGCATAGCAACTGAGCCAAAGAATGCACTGTTCGACCATGCAATAAATCGCCAACCATTGCAATAGTTGTATTATTTATTGTGCCCAATTCATCGCGAATAGTAAAGAGATCCAGAAGAGCCTGGAAAAAAATAATTAAAAGCAACAAAAATCTGGCGATCGACTGGAATAAACTAGTGTATACTTGAGTGGGATGTTGCCCAGTACCATCTCCAGCATTAATTACAGGCTTTTGTGTAACTTGAGATGCACGTGCTGCTGCGCCCGCTTCTGGATGTCGTAGAACTATTACATCAGCATATCCACTCATAATCAAAACTGAATCTGAAAAACAGAAATTGCTATAAAGATTAATAAGAAAATAAGGCAATCAATTAAAATAAATTAGATAAAATGTAAGAATTATGGAATCAAAATGAAATATTTGGTACAAAAATCACTAAATAATAGCTAATTGACTCAATTTTTAAATTTTTTGCCACTTGCAAGCGAAATTATCATTGATTATCTTTATCTTTTGAATTATTCATTATTACGTAATTTCAAATATACTCAATTAATTTGCACCAATCTTTTATTTGTGCCCAAATTCGCCAATGCTTTTTTCTTATCATATTAATATATGGCTTCTTCTATACTATTTAGTTGTTTTTCAATGAATAAATAAATAAATAAGAAAATTTTGAAAAACGAATGGGAAAGCAACCTTCCAAAGTCTCTCCTTTTTGCACAGATGATGTTTCCTTATCCATACTTATAACCATACCTCCTAATCGTTGCATAGCAGCAGAGAATGAGCTGGAGGTACGAGTGGATGCTTCATAAAACATTGAAGCCATAACGTATCCCTAAATTTTTTCATTTACTATAAATGGGGCATTTAATAAAAATTGAAAAAAATATAAAAATTGATAAAGAATTAAAGGATTACAAATTTCACAAAATAAACAAAAATTTCAATAACTTTTCACTCTTATAGAAATATTCTTCGTATTCACGAAAATTTTGCATGTTTAAAAAAAGAGGCAGTTGTTACGCCAGATTTTTACAAAATATAAATAGAAGGTAATTGCAAAAAATTATTTGATCATAATAGGCCGAAAATTCTATATAAAAAATGAATTACAAGAAGTTAGAAACTGCGAAACAAATTATTCGAGCTGATCACAAAAATTTACGATAACTCGAAAAAAGAAAAACAAACTTTTAAAACGTCACTAATACAATTGTGCCGCTCCGTATCAATCCGGTATTGCGTTGCAAGGTCAAAAATTTTATTGACCATCGATTTCGTAAGTCCATCAACTGTGATAATGCTTTGGTTCTAAAAAAAATTTAAAATTGGCAACAAAATTAATAAAATGATTAATAAAGAAAACAAACAATTATTACAAAAACATTCATAAATAATACCTTAAAGTGCTCGTCTTCAAGAGATTCTTGCATTTGAATACTAAGGTCAAATGATTCTTTTCTATCAAAAGAACTATCAGCCACGTCGCTAACAAGAGTGTATTTTTCAGGAGATATCTTATTTGAATCTGAATTTAGAAGAAATTTAAATTTACGAAAGTTAAGACAGTGTTTTACTTAATCTTTCATATTATACATTAACCTTTATATGCATTCGGAAATGTCTCAACTTTTTCATAATAATCAGCAGCACGTATATTTTTGCCATATCCTGGTGCTATCACTGTCCGACCATCAACGAACACTTCCTTAAATTTGCGAATAAGCTTTCTTATCATAAAAATAAAAAAATTTAACAGGATTTTTTATAATAAAAACGCAATAATTAAAAAAATATCTAATAGAAAATATATTAAATATATAGAAATAAATTAATTATAAAATATAAATTAAATATAATAAAAACATGCCTCCCCACGGATAACAACAATTCTTATTCGTCCCTTAATAGACATTCCAGCATATGGAGTCCACTGTGCTTTACTTGAACCACCTTCCTGAGGAATCGTCCATTTTTCATTCATATCAACCTAAAACGTTGAAAATATTTTGTAATACTTGCGCATATTTCTTAAAATTATAGAGATTAAAATTAAAATTAAAAAAAATTCTCAAAAATCATTTAGCAATAAAAAATAGCTAACCTCAATATAAGTATTACTTTGAGATGGAAGATTGAAAATTCTCTTAGGATTATCGTGCAACCGATCAATTAATTGCTTAATAGTAAGTTTGCCGTTATTTACAGCATTTAAAAATAGTGGAACCATGTATTCGATTGAAGGGAATCCTGGTAATTTTTTCGTCACCTTTTCATCGCGGCTATGAGGCGCTGCAATTTAAATCAAATTTATTAGAAAAATAAAATAATCTGCAACGCTAATCTTTAAAACAACTACCAAATCCGAAATAAAATAAAAATTTAAAAAAAAATTCATCTTACCGTGATCAGATGCAAAACAATCTATATAATCAATGTTTTCCCATAACGCAGCAACATCATTTAAATTGGCTAGCGATGGACGAACTTCTTCCCAACCCTCTCCTAGATTCGAGTCTTTTGTTAGGAATAAATGATGCGGAGTAACCTACAAGTTCATTGAAAAATAATATATAATTGAAAAAAAATATTTGTATATTAATTAATATAATATAATTAATTAATATAATTATAAAAACATATAAAATAATCTTTTCATGAGGTTTAATTGCTTACTTCACATGTGACTTGCCAACCCTTTTCTTTAGCGCTCCGTATAATCCATATTTCTTCAGCAGTTGAAACATGAGCGATATGAACTAAAAAATTTACGAAATAGGAAAACTATGCAAAAAATTATGAAATGAAAAGTTTAAATGTCATCGATTCTATTATAAACACTGCTTCAAAGAAAATTTAGATAGACCATTAATTTTTCAAATTTTTTTAACAAAAAACCCAACCTGCTCGCCCAGTTAATTGGGCAATCGACAGCACTGCTGCCAATGTTCGACCTTCTGCATGACAAACAATAACTCGATCTTTTGGAAACTGAGAAAAATGCTGAAAAATTTTTAAATAAAATTAATTTGATATAAAGTATATTGAAATATATATATAACAAGTTACTTAATGAAATTAAAAAATATTTTTTGATTTCTTTTTATTTCAGCCTTTGATGCATTAATATCGGTGAAAGGCTCAAAGAGCATTAATAAAAAATCCATTACCTTTATCCAATCAGATATATTATCCATCTTTAATGTTGTAAATGTATCGTTCAAGTATAACTTTAAACCGGCAGTATTAGCAGATATACATTTCACTTCTTCACTATTGTCAGCAGTTCCACCAACATATAAACCATAATCCACAATAGAAGATTTTGAAGCAATCTTAAAAAATATTGATGACAAATCGTATCTTGAAACAATGATTGAATAAAAAATGATTGAATGAATGATAGATTAAAAAACGAAAATACCATAATACAAAATGAAAATGAAAAAAATGAAAAAATATATATATATACCATGTCAACAACTTTCAATGTATTAGTATCGATGATCGGTGGATTTGTGTTGGGCATTGCTAATAACATTGTAATCCCTCCAGCCACAGCAGCTTCTGTTCCACTTTGCCATGTTTCCTTGTATTCCCCACCGGGTTCGCGCAAATGTGCATGGATGTCAATAAAACCAGGAAGGCGCAACAATGAACACGATGAAATACTATCGATTAAAGAATTAACCGGTGGATGTGCACCTATGATCCGCAAAGCCTGTAAAATGACAGAAGAATATGAAAAAATCAACCCAATCGCCAATAATCTGCGATTTTTTACATCAATTTTTCTCAGTTAAAATCAGTTGTTAACATTGTGCTTAATAATTCTTATAAATTTTTTTCCAAGTGTTTCGGCAAAAAATTCACAATAAATTGAGAATCACTAAAAAAAAGACTGACTTCTATGAAAAGTTTTGCACATTTTATATCAGTAATAAGTGGGATACCATTATCAATTGCCATTCGTCGTGTTCTATAAGATAAAAAATGATCACCATAGGATTAAAAAATTTATGGTTTAAATGAAATTATAAATTATCAAAGACCAAGATCAAGAAGCTATCGTAGTGGAAAAATTAAAATTTAACAGAACCGCCTTTCCCAAATCAGCAGAGATATTCGAAAAGAAAATGAAAACACAACCTGTAACCTAACGTTCGAACATTTGACACTCGATAAGCACCTGAGCCACGAATAGGCAAATTAATCAATAAATGCACATTTTTTTTAGCGATTAAGTGGGCAAGGTTGAGTGATTCTGCAGAAGTTTTTTCGTCTGTTTCGGCGCTTTCATCTTCAGTCGGCCATTCAACTGTTTTTGTCTTCAATATTATATATTAAAAATCAATTCATCTAATTTTTTAAAACTACTATAAAAGTAATTCAGTAACAATTAAAATTTAGCTCATCTTACTTCAAGCAAAATAAATTAATTTTTCGACACTAACAGGTATTTTATTTGATAGGAAATAATCAGCAGTTCCTTTGCTTGCTAACAGCTCGAATCCCATAGCAAGCAATTCTCGTACACTCTGAAGCATCTCAGCCTTTGCCTGAAATTATATTAATTGCATCTGGAAATATTTTTTATTAAATATACTAGATAATATTTTTGAATATATATAAATAAATCATAGAAAATAATGATAATAAATAAATCATAGAAAAAAATGACTTATTTAACAATTCTCAATAATTTACGTGATATCCACCAATTGACAAGAAGATAGTTTTCTTTGGAAAAGTAAAACCAGTTGAAAGAAGGCCTTTCAAATATGCTTCATATCGATTACGCCCGAAACAAGCAACTTCACCAGTAGAAGTCATTTCTACTCCCAGCATCGCATCAGCACCTGCCAAGCGAGAAAATGAAAACTGAGGCACCTGAAGAGAGATATCTTATTCAGGTGGTGCTTATCTTTAATTTTTTATCATTTTAGAGCACCCTCTTAAAAAGATTTTATGATATATCAAATTTATAGAAAATTTAACCTTAACACCAACTCGTTCCCTATTAAATTCAATATCGGTTGACATTAAGGTCTGATGAATTCGATTGTTATCAATCGCCATTACACAACGTGTAGCCAGAGCAACGAAATTATAATCTAAAGTTTTCGAGACAAAGGGAAACGAACGAGAAGCACGCAAATTACATTCGATTACCTACAAATGGTAGTTGGTTTAACTGACAATAATTATAATTTAAAAAATTACCACATTAAACATTACTTACTCTAACATTACTTACTTACTACAATACTTTAAAATTTACCCTTAATTCATTGTTTTTGGCGATTAATTGCATATTGAAAGGCCCAATCACATTTAATGCCTTGGCAATTTTACGCACAATTTTCTGGAAAATACTTGATTCTATCAAAATTTTTTGCTTAAAATTTTTAATAAAACGAAAAACTAATAAAATAAATAACTCAGTAAATATAAAAATATATTTATAATTTGTAATTACAATCATTTAATGTATATGAAACGAAAAATTTTTTAAAAATTTTAGGAAAGAAGGATCAAAAAATTTCCAAAAGTTAAGCTTACTTCAATTCTATGCAATGTTATTTGATTCATGTCCTGAGGTGGCGTAACCAAACAAGCATCACCTGAATGAATCCCAGCATTTTCCACGTGTTCACTAATTGCCATCCCAATTACCTTAATTATCATCAAAATATTCATTTAAAAAAAATGTAATAATAATAATTTTCTATCAAAACAAGTATTGAAAAATGTTAGAAAGATATTTTTAAAAAAATTATCGAACAGAACCATCAAAAAAAAAAGTCAAAAGTAGTAGGTTATACTTTTCCTCCATAAGCCACCGCATCTACATCAATTTCTTTTGCTTCGCTAATAAATTTAGAGACAACAACAGGATGATCTTTGGAAATAATAGTGGCATAACGTAAGAAAGTCCTTAGATCTTCCTAAAATACAAAAAATATTTTAAAAATTACAGAAAATTATAAAATTACAAAAAATTACAGAAAAAGGTATGTAATTGGAAAATATTTCAGTAACTTCCCCTAAGTGGTAATCATCAGAAAACAATAATCCGATTACAAATGCAATAAAAATATTCGTTAATCACAAAAAATTAATGACCCGATTATGCGCGACATTCATAGCTGCGCCTGATAGTACATACGATGGACGGATAAGGCATGGATAACCAACATTCTCACAAAACTCTTCTACTAATGCTTGATTATCAGTTTCTTTCCACTGAGGCTGCGAAATCTAAAAATAATTAGCATTATTCATTAAAATAAAATTAGTACAACGAAAATGCTTTGCCTTGACAAACCTTCAATGAATCCAGAAGACGACTGAATTTGAAACGATTTTCAGCCGAATCGATATCGTTTGGTGAGGTACCAAAAATATTTACATTCGCACGCAACAGACTAACTGCAATATTATTGGGTGTTTGTCCTCCAAAGGATAATACTACTCCTTTTGGTCGTTCTTTTTCATATATATCGAGCACAGTCTCAAATTAACCTTTTCTTATTTTTAAATTTTAAAGCGAAGAGAAAAAAAGATTAATGCATTATATAAGAAATACCTCGAACGATATCTCTTCAAAATACAATCGGTCACAAACATCATAATCAGTACTGATAGTTTCAGGATTGCAATTAATAGTTATCGCGCGATATCCAAGGCTCTTTAATTCGTTTATACAACCAACACAACACGAATCGAATTCAACGGATGAACCAATGCGATATACACCGCTACCAAGGACAATCACACCTTTCTTCTGCGAAAATCAAAATATTTAAAAACTATTTGCAGCATCGAATATGATAAGAATATCGAAAAATGATATCGAATAAGATAATTTTAAAAATTGTTTTTTAAAAATTTAAAAATTTTAAAAAGGAAGAGAGGACGAACCACATTGAAAGTCAAATCATTTTCAGCGCCATTATAAGTCATAAAAAGATAATTTGTAACAGCTGGCCATTCAGCAGCCACTGTATCTATTTGTTTTACAAATGGTTCAATACCGAATTCTTTGCGTTTTTTGCGAACAATAAGTTCTTCACTAAAAAAAAAAATTTATTTTAGCCAGGAAAAGAGTAACTAGGAAGCTCAGAAAATTCTTTTAAAAACTTGAAAAATGACTTAAAAGACAGTAATCAAAAGGAAAAACTAAATGATAAATTAATAACAAACTGAAGGCATTATCAAAAAACCTGTCAATAATTCGTGCGATTTGACGATCAGAAAAGCCTAACTGTTTGGCGTTAAAGAGATGTGAAATTGGCAAATTATCGATCTAGAAAATTACAATAATTTAGATTATTAGGAATATTTAATTCTGAACTTAAAAAAAACCTCAGTGAAAATAACTCATGAAATTCTGGCTGGAAATTAGAAATTCTACTTCTCAGCATTAAAAGGGACAAAACACTGCCTAAATTTGTGATAAGCAGTTTCACAGAATTGCGAATATTCGGCAAATTTCGTCTATTATATTAACGCGTACATTATATTGTTTCAGCTTCGAATAAGTATTGGTTATATTTTGCATGCGGTATAAGAACCAACGATCGATACCAGTTAATTCGTGGATCCTATCAACTCCATAATTTCCCTGGTAAAGACCTCGAGCGATAGCATAGATACGTTTATCAGTAGGACGTTCAAAGTCCTAGAAATAAATATTTCACTAATTTTAACAATATTACTTCTTTTTTCTTCTCTAATAATTTTTCATTCAGAATTTACTTGAGACAAAATTAGTACAAACCGAATCGCTTGGTTGTTTCGGGAAAACATCTGGTGAAAAACCATCTATTCGTTCGCTGACCATGCGAAGTGCTTTTTGAAAAGCTTCTTCAAATGATCGACCAATACCCATCACCTCTCCAATTGATTTCATGCAAGACCCAATCTTCAAATAAAAAATTTAACAATAAATTGCCAAATAAAAAATAATAAAATGAACGAACAACTGAAGTGTTATTCTTTCATTCTTTTAAAAAAAAACTTATTTCTTAAAAAAAATTCATTCAAATCCAACTTCGTTGTTAACTCGAGCGAATTTATTCAAATCCCATCTAGGTATTTTAACGACGCAATAATCCAATGAGGGTTCAAAACAAGCAGTTGTTGTTTGTGTGACACTATTACGGATTTTTGGCAAATATTCACCAAGCGCGAGTCTTGCGGCAACATATGCAAGAGGATATCCAGTGGCTTTGCTAGCCAAGGCAGAACTTCTCGATAGCCGAGCATTAACTTCGATTATGAAGTACTGAAATGCAAAATACAATAGATTTAGTCTTCAAGAAAAGACAATTTCGTGAAAAAACTGTTATAGATTAAAAAAAATGAATTGAAAAATAAACCTCAAAAGTTTCCGGATTCACAGCATACTGAATATTACATTCACCAATTATACCAAGATGACGTATGACTTTTATCGCATTAGACCGCAGACATTGATATTCATCATTAGTAAGTGTCTGACTTGGAGCAACTACAAAGCTTTCACCTGTGTGAATACCCAAAGGATCAATATTTTCCATGTTACATACCTAAATTTAAAAAAATAATAACCGATAGTATAATAAGTAAAGATTTTAGATAAAAAAGAAATAATCGTTATAATAAAGAAAAAGACATATTCTATAAATACATTTTCGGCTTCAGTTTCAGAAAAATTTACATTAAATTTATCTTCACTTACAGTTATGCAATTGTCATAAGCATCGCGGATAACTTCGTATTCAACTTCTTTCCAACCTTTCAGGCTCTTATCGATCAGAACTTGATTACTGTAAGACAAAGCTTTTTGGACGATGTTCTTCAAATCTTTTACATTGTCTGCAAAACCTGAGCCAAGTCCACCGAGAGCATACGCAGAACGAATAAGTACAGGATACCCAAGCTAAAACAACGATTTTTCAGTGAAATTTTCCGATTTTATATACAAATTAATTTTTAAAAAAAGTATGAAATATTGTGATAGCGGGTATTGAACAATGAGAAGCGTACTTCACTGGCTGCTGAAACAGCTTCATCCATCGATTTTGCTGCTTTGCTTGGAGCAATTTTTTCATTAATTTTTACCATCTCTGTGCTAAACAATTCTCTATCCTCGGTTTTCATAATTGCCTGAAAAGCGAATTTATTTTAATAGTTTATCATAGTTTATTGGTTTAAGCTTTAATAATCGATATACATTCAAGGAAAAAAAAACATTTCAAAATGGAAATGCTCAAATTACTTCTATAGGAGTTCCTAGCACGCAAACATTATATTGTTCAAAGACACCATCATTGAACAAATCAATCGCACAGTTTAATGCCGTTTGTCCACCAAACGTACATAATATACCCGTTGGACGCTCTTTTTTGATTACCTAAATAATTTCATTTAATTTATAGTTTAATAATTGAAAGAATATATAAATTCTCTAAAAATACAGCAGTGAAAAATAATGCAAGAAGGACTGTTTTTTTCCTTGGTATTTTTCTTATTTTACCAATTTTTTTTTCTTTGTTTTTCTTATTTGTTTATTATCAACAAATTCATGGCTTGGGCCATGCTTGATAATAATTTAAAACAAATTGAATGAAATGAAATTTACATCAGTAACATATTCTTTTGTGACGGGAAGAAAATAGGTTCGATCTGCGAAACCTTTTGAAGTTTGTACAGTTGCTACATTCGGATTTATCAAAACTGTCCGTATAGACTGTTCCCGCATAGCTTTTAAAGCCTAAAACAAAAGAAGAAATATTCATTCCTCGCATATTGTGATGATCAATCAATCAAAGATAAATAAATGAAATACCTGAGCTCCTGAATAATCAAATTCACCAGCTTGACCAATAGAAAGCCCACCAGATCCAAGAATAAGCACTTTTCTTTGTTCAGGAATTTTATAAATTGTTTCATAGCGAAACTTTGCTGAAATTAAATCCCTAATCGATGAACGTATTCCTTGCTTCCATTGCGTAATACAATCAACAAACACATCAAAGAGAACTTCGAGATCAAATGGGCCAGCTTTATGCTCAGGATGGAACTGTACACTAAAAAAAAAATTTCAAAATGGCAAACAGGTTAAGTTCGAAAAAGGAAAATTATTTTGATAACAACAATGGATAATTATAATGTCAAAGCCAGAGAAATCAAAATAATATAGATATAAAAGTAAAATAACTAAAATAATTAAGCTAAAATTAAAGCAATAAAGAATAAATAATAAAGAATACCTAAAGAAAGGAAGTGATTTATGCACAATTCCTTCATTCGTACCATCATTTTCATTGATAAAAAGTGGGATCCAACCATCTGGTAATTCTTCCGTTTCATCAACTGCATATCCATGATTCTGCGATGTAGCAAAACATCGTCCTGTATCAACGTGAACACAAGGCTGATTATGACCACGATTACCATATCTTAAAAATAATGTTATATTGTGTCCGATGTTCCACTTTAGGCATTAGAGAAAATAAAAAATCCAAACTTCAGTTTTTTTGTTTTTGCACCAATAGAACGAGCCAGAATCTGATGGCCAAGACAAATGCCAAATATTGGATGAACATGCTTCGACTTTAAAATTTTATTTAACTTTGCACTTATCGAAGAATATTGAGCTGGATCACCAGGCCCATTAGAAAGAAGTATTCCATCATAATCTGCAAAACAATTAAATCGATTACAAAATTTGCACAAGAATCCAATCCGGAAATTATTATATGAATACTTAATTTATACTTAATTATACTTATAAAAATTATATATAAATTAATAATATAAATTAATATAAATTAATAAATTATACTTATAAATTTATATATAAGTATTATAATTATACTTAATTATTCTTAGTTATTCTTAATTTATAACCAATAAACAATTAATTACCATTTTCTGCATCAAATGGATGAATCCAAGGAACAACTTTAATATGGACACCTCTTTTCGCCAAACAGCGAATCTGATTATTCTTTAGACCACAATCCAATACCAACACCTTTGGACCGCAATAATTATTAAAATGTTGCACTTCCTAAAAAAGGGTATAGAATAACTTTTTACTTCAAAACATAAGATGAAAAGCCATAATATACAATTTTTCCAAAAATTCCAAAAAACGATATATCATTTATCGTAAAAGCATTGGTTTCCTAACCTTACATGAGACCTGTGCCACCAGATTTTCTTTGTTGATATCCTTGAATTCATAATCTTCATATTTATCACCATCCACAATTATCTTAAATATGACTTAAAAAATAGGATAAAACAGATCTCGAAAAAAATAAGAATGCAGAGACAAGCAAAGCTCTAAAAGGCAAATATACAAGTTTTCAGGATTCCAAATAATAATGAAAAAGACAAAAAATATTTTTTTCATAAACAAAAAAGAATGGCCAAATGAAAAGATTACTTTCGCTTTCATCGTCCCTTTTTCGCGAATGATTTTTGTAAGTTGACGGGTATCAATTCCTGATAAACAAGGTACATTTGAATATTCAAGATACTGATTAAGTGATGAGAAAGCTTGCCAATGGCTATGTTCATCTTCCGGACAAAGCCTAAAAAACTGAAAATAAAATTCCCTTTTATCTTCCCTATTTTATTTAAATAATAAAAAAAAGAAAAAAAACCTGTTAACGATTAATGCTGAGAGCCAAACTTTTTTGGATTCGTAATATTTCGGCAATCCGAATTCATCTAATTCCAAAGGATCTGGAGCACCATAATTGCCAATGAGTGGATAAGTTAGTACTAATAACTGATTCGCATAAGATGGATCAGTAAGCGATTCGATGTAACCAACCATTCCACTTTGGAAAACTTAAATTTATTTATCATTTATGATTTAATTAATTAAATAATATACCATTCAAGCTAAATAAATAAAAAATCTAAAATACTTAGCAAATAAAATAATATATTAATTAGTAATACATTAAATATGTAAATATTATAATAGTTACATAATGATACATCACATAATAAAGGCCTCTGGTGCAGAACTCGACATTGAGGATGATCTTTAGCACTCACAAGGGGTGAGAGGGATTTCCTTTCAGTATAAAAATGTTAGGGAAAATATGGACTACGAAATATAAAAAATTGTTTGCAAAGTGAATCTTTTAAAATTCAATTATAAAAATTTCTTCAAATCCTGTAATATATTTTAAAAATTAAAAATTTTTAAAAAAATAACTAATAATTAGAGGAAAAAAACCAAAAAAATTAGTTGAAAGGCATCTTATCAGCGTAAAATAGCCCAGTGGATTGTTGTTTTTATTTCGGAAAGGCGATGCAAAGATTCCATTTCCGAGTAATTCTGCTTTTAAAAAATCCGGATGGTGCTGATGACCCATTTTTCGCCGAATGCTGAGTAGTATGCAATGCGGAGAAAAGAAATAGGAGTGTTGAGGGACAGAAATTATCACCGAAATTAAGCAATTAATAATCTAAAATGGCTATATAGGAGGCGCAATATGTGGAAGGTAGAATGTCCATCTCTCCTAAATAAATCACGTCCTATATCAATTTGGAATTCCTCACTGTTGATCGTCTGGAGCCTATCGTGAAAAAGAGAGTGTACGAAAAGAAGTAAAAGTCGCTGCCGAGCAGAGTAAGGTTCAAATAAGAAGTAAACGATAAGTCTAAAACGACGCTGAAGAAATTTATCCGTTCGGAAAACTTGTGGATCCTTCTCACATCTACAGCTGAATAACAACAAAAAGCTCATCTGGTCCGACAAGATAGCGGAAAGAGTCCAAGAGTAAATGACAATCGAATCTTCATTTTTTAAATTATAAGATATTTGTCTATTTCTATAATTATTTTATTAAATTCATTGATTAATTTGAATAAAATTATGTTAGAAAAAAAAGACGATGAAACAAACCAATTTCACCGACAGTGCTTTTCTTTGCACCAAATATTTCACCGCGAAATTCCAAAATTTCACTAGTATCATCGTCGTACAAATAAAGATGACCAAGTGTCATTATTTTCCTCTCTTTTTTATTATTTCTTATATTCTGTAGTAAAATTCATTAGTTCTTAGTATATTTATTATAAGTTGATGATCACAAGATCTCTCGTGATTTATCAGTTTTTTATCACCGTTATCACATTTAAACCCTTTCAGCCTATTATAATTATGATTTCTTGATGAAATCGATATGTCATTGTTTTCTCCACTTTTTATTTTTTATATTCTATAGTAAATTTATTATTACGACTTATCAATTTCTTATCACTTTTATCACCATCTAAGTCTTCTAACCTATCGTGTAGATAAGATCTCTTAATGAAATTGGCTCTTAACCGACGACATTACCGCGATCACCTCTCCAACCCCCCCCCCCCCCCACTCCCAACAAAAGGGACATACCAAATTTTCCACACACCCATTTACCAACCTTAAGAGGTCATAAGGAGGGGAAAAAAGAATTACAGATAAAAGGAAATCGTTTTAAGACTTATTTGAAATTCAAATAATCCATTCGGCTATTGTAACCCCTTTAATAATAAAAATAACGAATGTTAATGCATTTGACTGCAGTATTGAATGGTGAATGGCGAATTAATATTCTTCTCTGCTAATGCAACTCGAAAAAAAAATATATTCCTAATGGAAAATTTTATTGAAATTTTTTCAATAATAATAATAAAAACTATTAAATAAAAATAATAAAATATCAGTAAGATTTGCAAAATAACGGATTGAACAAACTTAATTTTCCAGTTCCATTAAAATGGATGGCATAGTAAAATATTAATGGAAAAATAGTATGGTTATCGGAGAGAATACAGAGATGAGAAAGGATTATGGATACAATATTTGTTGTGTATGAATTTATGGATAATATTATTGAGGATATACAATTTCTACTGCTGTCCATGTAAGCATAAGATATTTATGAAATATGCAAATATACGATCTATATTGCTGTCCACATAATCGAAACATATAAATCTCATGCTGTCCATATAACCGAAAAGTTTTTATTCAACTCTTCCCGTTATTTAAATCTTTAACAAGCTTTAAAATGCGATTTCGATGAGTAGCATTTCGAATTCCAAGGTCGATTAGATCATCGTTGGTCAACGAGAGGAATGTGGTTTTGTCGATTTCTTCTGATCGAAATAATTCGATATAATTGTCAAGACCAGATTCAATCATTAAATTCCATATTCGCTCTAAAATTTCTCTATTTCATTCGTAGAAATAAACGAGTAAAGTGATTAGCATTCACATCAGTAATTTTGCTTAGAGTGCTAATTCGTTCCGCTGATTTTTAGTTCAAAAATTTTGGCTAGAAAATCAGTTGAAGGTGTAAAAGCGTAGATTGAGCAATCATTCGAATTTTATGATTCCTTGTTTCCTTTATAAATTTCACATGGGATAGATTGGCTCAGTGGATTGTTGCTTAACTGGGAACGCCGATGCTAAGGTTCAATTCTCCGCAAGAGTAAACCTGTCCAAAAATCCAGGTGATGCTGGCGATTCACTTGTATTTCTATCGCCAAAGGACTCTCTGGCATATTTGTCTAATGCTACAAGCGAGCGGAACGAGTTTAAGCAGTAATGGTAAGCACTCAATTCACTCGATTATTATGCCCCTTTTATTCCATTTTTTTTTTGATAATCGAAAAGATTAACCTTCTGTGATCTTCATTCGTTTTTTCTCCTTCAAATTATCGGAAATTTGATCATTAATCGGCGATTCTTTTTGCTTTTTTCTTTCATTATTCTTCAAACTAAGCATTGTTGATCCTTTGCGGTTTAAATTATCAATAATTGATGGCGTTGATACGGATCTGTGATTTGCTTTTTTCCGTTACAAAATTACTTTACCTTATCACTTTATCGATTAATAATAACTTATAAAGTCAATAAAAGCATAGAATTTTTATGCAACATATGAATCTCATACACTACTATGATTTCTTAAAATATCTTCTATTTTTGTTGATTATTAGTTATTTTATCAGTTAAATGAACTTACTTCCTAAGGGGCTTATCATCCTCTTTTAAGGCAAAAGTGTATTGATTCAGTGAATGCCTAGATGGTGATAATCTTCCACTCTCTTCCACTCCATTATTATTATTAACTGTTATCGTTCCCTGCGATCTTTTCCGCATACGTGGTGTCGTACCCAAAGTACTTGATGAACCCCGTTCTATCGAAGACTGATGACGTGTGACGTTATTCGATTTATCGAAACCTAAATTGCTTGGAAGTCAGACTGTGAACTGGTATTCCAATATAAACTTGCCTTTATTATTATTAAATACGCCATCTTGGCCACTATTATTATTTTTTGTTTAATTAAGAAGGAATGAACGATTAGAGTTTGCCGGCTTGCTATTTCTTTAATATTCAATAAAATAGGACTTAAAACCGGTTAAAACTTATCATTTTTGGTTTGGTTTGATGGGTTTTAATGTCTGGCGATGGGAAATTTTCTTTCCAAGAAAATATCATCCGAATTTTTTTATTGATGTGAATACTTTTACAAAAGGCAAGGATCTTGAATATAAATTGATAATCTAGGCAGCAATCATTTATCAGTTATCCCGTTTCTTTAAGCGATAACAAGAATGCAATAAATAAAAAGTTGGTATGAACCATCAGATCCAGAAGCTGAATTTGACAAACTTGTTTTTCTTCTATTATATTCATCAAATAAAATCCTTGACTTCACTGATTCTGGAATGCTACTTTTGCCACTTCTTTTGGGATATCTGTCTTCCTGAAATATCCCTTGCAACTTGTTATGGCATTTAGCATGTATCATCTCTACGATTTATCACTCCAATTTTTAATTTTCCATCTTTTAAACTGATTATATAATAATGAATGGCCTTACTCAGTCTCAATTTTATTTTCTTAGTTTTTTAGCTTCATTTGATTATCCCAGACAAAATCATAAATCCAGAAAATTATAGAATCTTTCTTGAAGCAATAGATTTAACCTATTTAAATTTAATTTAAATGATTGGGTAATGACTGGAGTATTCACGCTAATTTTTAAACTTAAAATTCGAATGGTACTATGGTTCCACCACTTGTACTTTCCCACACTATATACTGAAGAAGCCTTATCCTATTGGTCAGTAGAGCCTATAATTAGTAATGGTAAGAAAAAGAAGGAAATGTCTATTCTATTTTATATACCTATTGAAAAGACTATGACTGCGTAGTGTGGAGCTTAATTTTATTTAATCCTATTTTTCTTCTCTGGTTAGCTCCAACGGCTACAAGGGTAAGGCGGCGCGGTCTGATACCATCATCGACAGTAATGGAAGCCATTCCTTTTTCCATCGTCTAAGTCCATATATTGCTGGTCCACCTATACGTTTAAAATCTTTCCTGACCGTATCAGTCCAGGTCTTGATTGCTCCACCTCGCTTTTGACGCCACCCATCATATGGTTTAGCAAGTAACGAAATATATGTCAACTCTTGTGGTGGGCGACGAAGAACATTCCTAATCACCAAAGACATCATGTGAATTCAATACCATTAAAAATTAATGAGAAATTACGAACATAAAATGCGAAAGCATTTCGTTGTGCAAGTGAAAAGTGTTCTTTACGACGTTCGTTTGATGATTTTGAAGAGCTTAATAAATCGAATTTGCCATAGTTTAGTAACGCTGGATTAGATTTCGAATTCTCTACTAAGAATCCGATAGGCGATGGAAGTAATCCATGACTTAAATACATCTGCAATTTAAAACTTAAAATCATATCAAGAATTATAGTATATTATCAATTCAGTTCAAATCAAATCAACAGTTGGCCCCCACAGAAACTTACGCACATACCGCCACTGCTAAAACCCGTAATGGATGACATCATAAGTATTAAAGACTAATGAAAACCTGAAACCGGAACGATAGGGTCAGGAGAAATTTCTTTACCATAAATAACAATATAAAATAATTTAAGGGAGCTGTCCGATACAAAGAAAAGAATTGGTGAATGCGTGGGAGAGTGGCGAGATAATTCCCATCAAGAATCGAGAATTGGTTTCAGGTCCAGCCGAGCCATTATTCTTCGCAAGGCCACTGCCTAGAGGAGAAAAAACAAATCCCGGCAAGAGGTGAGTACTGACAAATTTGTCTAGTGTGACAAACCAGAGGAACGAATCTAACCAGTAATGGTTCTTTAAAAATAGTGTTCTTTAAAAAAAATATGCAAAATGCCGTATAGTTTGATAAATGTTATCGATGGTTGGAGTATGGAGATGCGGTTTTAAAGAGAAATGGACGAATATCTTGAGGGTATTTAATAATAACCACTGGGAAGAATTCACATAAGATTTTTTTAACAAATTATATTTTTTCAGTTTTTTTTGGCCTTTTTTTTAAGTTTCTATAAATTTGGCGTTGATAAAAATGCAAATAAGCAAAATCAAAACTTTACCACAATCTTTTTTTTGTTTTAACCAGTTTTTTATCCGTAGATTTATATAAATTAGTTTTATTAAATTATGAGCAAGGCTAACCTCAGCTAGCGTTCGCCCTAATCTGATACAATTATGTTTTTTATCAATTTTCGAAGATTTCATCGCTGGTGCAATCGATCGTAATATATCACTGGCAGTGATAAACACATCATTATTATCATTGTTATCATAGACTCGTAAAAGATTTTTAAAATTTTCACGCCACATATTGTTATCATCATCATTTTTTGTCGAATTTCTTGAAAAATTGACCGTCATTCCAAGAGGAACATGTGGTACATGATGAGCTAATTTATTGAGCTAGAATATAAATATAAATCAATATAATAAAATTAAATACAATATAATTATATATTACAATAAAATATAATAATTAATAATTATTATTAGAATATAATTAAATTCAAATATCGAATAATGATCATGATATGGTATCACTATGGTTTAATAGATGGCAATATTTCTTATCATTTTTCACAAATTTTCGTTATTTCAAAATTTCGAAAAAATTGGAAAAATTATATAAGTTAGAATAAATTTAAACTTTTTAATACTATTTCTTAGATAAATTGCAAAACAACAATAAATTTTCAAAATTTATATTCTCAAGTTGTGATAATCAAGTGTTTGTGATAAACATACGATTTTCGCGCTACTACTGTGGATCATTCGACCAAAATTATGATAAGTTTCTATTTTTGTCGGAGGTAAAGAACCAATTTCAAGTTGTTGCAAACGACAAAGTAGATCGGAACTCAAGTTTCCTGAATATGAACGAATTACTAATTTTTTTCGTTAATATACGATGTATACAATGAAGTAAACCGTGTGATAGATGGCGTCAAAAGCGAGGTGGGGCAATCAAGACCTGGACTGATACGGTCAATAAAGATTTTGACGTGTAGGGGAACCAGTGATATATGAAGCTAGACGATGGAAAAAGGAATAGCTTCTATTACTGTCGACGATAGCATCAGACCACCACACCGCTTGGAAGCGTCTTACTCTTGTAGCCGTTGGAGCCAGCCTAACTAGTAATGGTGAGAGCTGTTAGAATAAGAAGACACAGTGAAGTATGATTAATCAACAAGCCTGAAATGAATGCATATTCCAAAGCTGTTAGACCATCGAATGATTTTAATGAGACATCCGCACCAGCATCCAGAAGAATCTGAACTGCTTCATGATTCCTGTAGTCTAAATTCGTTTTAAAAATTTTTTTACCGGAAGCAAAAAATACTCCTAAAATATTCATTTCTTAATGAAATAACTTGGCGAGCGACTCATTTTTTTCACCAAGTAAACTTCTTGACAAAAATTCGACCGATCCGAGAAGTCAGTGGAGAGAGCCTAATTAGCAATAGCGAGTGCTTTTAGAAAGACAGAATTATTTACCCAATAATTGTGGCAAACATTAATGATGTTAGACCAGATACACTTTCGGCCATATTTATATTATTGTTATCCGCTTCTATAATCGTTTTCAGCTAAAAAAAAATAATAAAAATAACTAAAAATAAAAGTAAAATAAAATAAATAAATAAACAAGAATAACAATAAAGTAATAATAAAAAACAAAAAACAGTAATAAATAATAAAATTAATAGTAATAATAGCAATAATAAAAATAATAAATAAATTAGTGGCAATATTAAAAAATAAATAATAATTTAAATTATAAAATATAAAAAATAGAATAAAAAGTGGAAATAGGGTTATTGGTGCGTCAGTGGCTCAGTGGCAGGACAATAGTCATGGAGAATCGAGATTTGGCTTCGAATCCCCAGTATTCATCAAGCTTAAAGAGAAAAACAAAGGAGAGTAGAATGGCTCAGTGAGTGGATTGTTGCTCAATTCAGAGTTTTGAGATTCTATTCTCGGTGGGAGCGAACCTGTCCAAAATTTAACTGATATTGACGGCTCAGCTATACTTCTATCGCCAAAGGACTCCTTGGCTTATTTATTTAGTGCGATAGGCCATAGGAGCGAGTTTAACCAACAAATGATATTGAAATATCCAACCTGTATTTTATAGGTATTCTAAATCTTATTTTAAATTTTCTCAAAGTTTTTATTATTTGAAATATTTTTAAAACGAAAAATTTATAATGATAATGGTATCTTTTAAAGAAACAATCATTTTTTTGGTAATCTTTTAAGTAAATCAAAACGACTAACGATCGGTGTATCAGCAGTAAGTACCGCATACATTAGGGGTGAAGTATTTTCTGGGAATGGTAAATACGGTATTTTATTATGTAATATATTTTTGACTGCTTCTTCATCGTTTCGGATTATTCGTTCTCTTAAATCCACTTCAGATGGTTTTTCTAAAATATTTAAATTTATTCGAATAAAATTCTCTATGCAAATTTCAACATATATTACATGTGAAATGAATGCAAATTTTTTCAACTTAGCCAATATTCCTGAAAATTGAAGCCAAAAGGGATCAATTATCATAATAAAATGTTGACATTTTGTCAATGGCTTCAAGCGTAAATCTCATGTCATATCAAAATATCGCGTGTTTCATCATTTAATTTCGTTAATTTATAAAAGAAAAGTGGAGACTTTTCTAATATTCCAAATAATAATTTTTAGTGCGAACTCTAACTAAATAAAATACTTACCTTTCGCTGAAACTAGAGTTTTTGATGTTAATAGCTCAATAACATCGTTTCTTTTTAAGGATTTTGCAAGTTCAAGAGCGGTTTGTTCACGAAGAGATCTAAAATGTGGATTAGCACCAAGTTCCAGTAAAGCAGTCAACATTGGGATTTTACCACAAATAATCACAGTTGAAAGTGCTGAAAGATTCGCCAAACGCTGAATATGCCCATCCAAATATGCACCCCTATAATTTTTTTTTTCGATTAAATTCCTTACGAAAAAATTTTTTAATTTATTGCTTTCTTTTGATTCAGTTGAACAAGGTGAATTTGGTCCCTTTTGATTTAGATGAATAAGATGAATTAATAAATTTAAAAAATTGTTGAGCTAATAAGACTCCAGCAAAGCAGAACTCGGAACAAATTGTCTTGGTCTTGTTCGATTTTGCAGAGTGTTATCGGTGCTAAACAAAATTACCCTATAATCTTATATACTGGCTCCGATATAAGCAAAAAGACTTCTATGAATTAAAAATTATTATAAAATTAAAAAATTTTGTCACCTTTATAATAGCAAATGTTAATAGAGCTAAAAGGTACCTGTGGGTTAATAGGGCACAAATATGAGTATGGCGTCTGAATGCTGCAGCAATAATAGGAGTTGGACAAAGAGCTGTATGCGTTGGATTAACACTAACTTTTAGATCTAAAAGAAGCTTGATGAGATCCAAATGTCCTCCAGCGGCTGCTAATGTCATTGGAGAAGCGCCAAGATACCTGGAAAAAAAACTCGAGGTCCCGAAATTTTTATAAATTTATGCTTTTTAAATATAAAATCCATAAATTTGAGCTACAAAAAATGAATTTAATAGCTAAGAAAATTAATTTATGTCCTGATTTCTCGATATTTTTATGGTGTTTTTAAGGTTTTAGCGTTTTTATTTATCGCCGATTAGTGGAAAATAATTTTTTTTCGAGTGTTTGGAATAACGTGACTATTTTCTATATGATTTTATGCCCTTAATTATTTTAAAAGATATTATTCGAGATTTGCATGCCTAGAAGAAATTTTGATGTTCTCGCAAATATTTTTTTTTATAAGAGTCCTCACCATTACTTAAACTCGCTCCGCTGGCTTGTCATATTGGACAAATATGCCAGGGAGTCTCTTGACGAAAGAAGTACAGGTGAGTTGCCAGCATCATCTGGATTTTTGTACAGTTTACTCCTGCAGAGAATAGAAATTCAGCATCTGCACTTAGAATTGAGCAACAACCCACTGAGCCATTCTATCCTTGCAAATGTAATCACTAAGACTTTTTTAATCAAAAATTCGGAATCCTCCTATATTTTTTATTATTAAATATCACCAAATTTAAAATAAACGAACGTTAATTTTTGATAATTCGCTCCTCGTTGAATAAGTATTCGCACAACGTGAATATGACCATTTTTACATGCGTGATGAAGAGGAGTCATGCCGACTTGATTGCTTTTTTCAATATCGGCACCTTGGTCAAGTAGGAACTCCACCTGAATGTCGAATTGTCGAATTAAAGTAATAATAATAAAAAAATAAATTAAAAGCAATAATGAGGAAAATAATAAAATGGAAATAACAAAAAAATTCACTTAATTATTTTACTTACCTACAAATATATTGAAGTAAGTAAAGTTTTATTTTGACATTTTTGACATTGATTTTATATTTTAATTAAGCGGAGATCGGTTGGTGCAAATATAACAACCATTTGGATCCTAATTCTAATATTCTATTTCATACTGATAAGATAAATTAAGGAATTGATTTCCTTTAAAATTCTGAGATCTCATTTCTATTTAATTTAATCAAAAACTACTCAACTCAAGTTAGTTAATTATGCAGTTAATTGATATTTTTGAAATGTGAAAAAAGAAAAAAAACAAACAATGCCAATATTTCCTGTAGCAGCAGCCATTTGTAAGCTAGTGACATGATCATCATCAAACGAATCAATGTTGAAGCCAGAATTTATAATTTTATGAACCTCTTCCAAATTCCACGATTCGCAAGCATCGAAAAATTGTTCAAGGGTGAACGAGGACACCATTTTGTTCTTCTTCTTCTTCACCAGATCTACGAACGAATACTATCAATCAGTCGCTTGGTTGAACTAATTTCGGGTTTGAAAATTTTTTCCGGTTTTCTCATTATTATTACACCTTGAAATAGTTTTTGTTGCAGATCGATTTATATTATTATAATAATTAAGAAGAAAAAAGAAAAAAACAATTTGAAGACTCTAATATTTAAAAAAATATAAATATATATATATATATATATATATAAGTAAATATAAAATATTAATAAATATTATCATATCATATTTATAATATATTTGTAAATATATCATATTTATAAATAGATAAATTAAATAAAATTATTAGGTAAGCAAACAAGTAAATTTTAACAATAATAATTTAAGTAAATAATAATTTTATTATAGCATTGAAAATCGGTAATCAATTTGCTCATTAGAACATATATTCTTTTTTCTTTTTTTTTTCTAAAATTATCATTTCAATTTAAAGTAATTAGTTGCAGTTCTTTAATGGCTTCAAATATGAAAAATTGCTAAGAAAAACTATTAAATATTAGAAAAACTCTTCAAATGTGTGGATCTTCGAAATAATTTTTAATTTAATTTTAAAACTTTATAAAATCACAATTCAAATTCATCTATTTTTGCTAGAATAGGCAACCAACTATTTTTTCGAAAGGATAGGCCTTAGAGGACGAGTTTGATTGTAATGGTATGGAGATGAATCCTCGATGTACCAATTATCCATAAATAATAATTTCATTGTTAAACTTATCTTTTTATATTCAATTTTTTTATAAAATTATTATTATAAAAAATAAATTTATTTTAGATATTTTTGAAAATTTTTTAGTCATTTCTTTTATTTTTCTACGAATTTCTGTGATTTTGAATTTCACTTTTTATAATAGATTTGAAGAATAGAAATCTTTCTGAACTATGTATCTTATATATTACAATTCATTTATATGGAAATTTCATTCTCTTTTAAAGTACCAAAACATCGATAGTAGCAGAGAATTTAATTTAATTCCGAAAAGTTGTTATGTAAAATTTCCTCATAAAAATTTTCGATAATAGCTATAACAGCTGTAGAAAAGTTTATTATTTATATTTATTATGTGATATGCAATCAATTGAATTGTCATGACCCATCCACGAATTTGTTGAAAACATTGAAAAGATTTACTTCCAGTTGGTTAGCTTGCTGGTTAACTATGCATTTCAAGTAGCATGCAATTAGTTTTTCAATCAGTTGGTTAGACTACCTGCGAACCCATACATTTATTAGCATGCAGCACGCATAATCATATCATTAGGTTATCACATCAATTTTCCTATATCAATTATCATGTCAATTCCCATTTCCTAGATTTCCGTAATTTGCATATCGATTTATAGGAAATTTATCAAGATTTTATCAAATGTTTTGTTTATTGAATTCTTTTTTAATCATCGTCAGTAATAAATTATGCGAAAATTATATAAATCTAGCAATAATGTTCCAATAAAAAAAAATATATACATATTTTTAAAGCAATCAAGTTGATAATCAAGTAATTTGATTTGTGAGTAATTTACCTAGGTTATCGCATAAGATTGTCCAACTAAACACAGTTTTATTAGTATGATTACCATGACGACGAATCACCGATTTAGGGCAATCATACTCCATTAGCGATTCTTCATATATAAGCTGAAAGCCCATTGAGTGAAGCTGCTTATCTTCTGGTTGAAACGTGTGTGTAAAACGAATGATAATTTTTGGCTATTAAAAATTTTGCCGTTTTTTTTGGCCAATTTTTTTCTGATCAATCATCAATGACATCAGCGGGAAAAACATTAGCTGATCGCTATCATATGATAAGGCGCCTTGGTGATGGCACTTTTGGTGAAGTTCTACTTGCTAAAAAATTGGATACTGGTGATAAAGTCGCTGTAAAGAGGTGATAATTCTTATATTTTATGGTTTACATATTATGTATTATGATGTTTCGATTCCAAGTTCTTAATCTTTTTTCATTTCCTTATACCTATGCCTTACTTAATGTTTTTTTATCGTATTCGGCATATTGTTTAATTTTTCTCATCATTTTTCTCTGATAAGAACTGTCTGATAATAATATTCATTTATAATAACCATATTAAGTTTTTGAATATTAAGTTAATAAATCAAGAGAAACGAAGCAATCGTAAATCTCTCTTGTTTTATCAAAATTATCATTTTAGCGTCATCATTTTAGCGAACCGTGAGAGTAAACAGCAGTTGTTTCACTTTAATTTTCTAGCTGAAAATAATTGGTTTTCGCCAAACAACAAAAAAACTGAAATTATAAGTTTCCTTTTTTTTGGTTAAATATGGAGTTTTTTTGCAAAATTCTTTAAAAGACGAGGACGAAGAATGAAATTTTTTTAAAAAATTTCCATTCGTATAAAAATCAGTTAGAACAAAAGATTTTGAAATTTAAAGATTATTCAATTTTTTCTGATAAAAATTTAGCTTTTCTTAATTAGTGATTTGATAACTAATTTGCCTAATAGTCGATAAATTAAAAAATACCCGATGGGAATGAATTCATGAATTTATCATAAATTTTATTTATTTTATCGAGCTCCGGCAAGATTCGACACTGAGCGAGCAAGCTCAACTTATAAATTTACGATATATTAATATGCCGCCTCTGATTTAAGCAAAGATAACTACTGATTATAGCCTCTGCAATGCAATAGGAAAAATAGGCTCAGATATCAGTTTGTAGGAAAATGGCGACTTGCGTATAAACGTTAATCTTTTATATGGCTATGATGAGTTCAATATTTATTTCTTTGGATATATCTACAATAAACATCTTTAATAGGCTTTTCGTTATATGGTGGAATGTTGAAGTCTGTTGATGGACCCGCAAAATTCAGGTTCCGGTTTCGACATAAGCAGAGAGTTCATCCATTTACCGAGAGCAAATTAAGCTTATATCGGAATTAAAAATCAAATAGCTCGATAAAATTTATAATAATAAAGTCAATATCAATATGCCGTCTCAGATTTAAGGAGATTTTTATAAAGTTTGATAAGAGAATACACAACAGTTTGCGTAATCAGCTTTATCAACAAAATACTTTAATTAAAAATTTCTTAAGACAAAAATTCAGAAAATCGGTATTATTTAATTGATAAATTATTATTACTATTATTATTATTATGAACTTTCGTTTGGATTATTTATTAATAAAAGATTGATACAAAATCTCTCAGAAAAAATAAGGAGAAAGTTTGACTGAAGAATGAAAGAAAATTCGTAATTGTTTTTTTTTTTCAGGAATTACTCTATGAATAGATAACTCGTAACTCTTCCTTATCTATCTTTATTCATTGTTTTTCAAAGGAAATAATAGTTTTCGAACTTGATCTTTAGTGAATAATACAAAATGATAAGATAAAAGTGATAAAATAATGATTTTTTTAATGAACAAAAATACAAAATGATAAGATATAAGATTAAATGATAATGCATCTTCTCTATCTTATTTATCTTCATTTAATATTTTTCGGGGAACATTTTAGGATGAAAAAGAAATTTTATTCATGGGAAGAAGCGATGGCATTAAGAGAGGTAAAATCGTTAAAAAAGCTCAATCATCCGAATATAATAAAACTGCGCGAAGTTATAAGAGAAAACGACAATCTCTATTTTATTTTCGAATATATGCAAGAAAATTTATATGAATTAATGAAAGATAGGTTCGTTTTTTGCTGAAATTTACATATAGGTAAGTAACACAAACTTTACCCATATAGGTAACTTTAACTATAAAATTTAAAGTAAGTAAACTTAAAAACCTCATTTTTTAAAATATTTGCCTTTCATCAGCTTTTCGAAAAAAATCTATTTTATCTCAAAATAAATTATTAAAATATACCTAAAAAATAATATTTATTGAATTGACCTGGTTTAGACATTCTGATGTTCGGGGATTTTCGAGGTTTACTTTATTTCCTCTTCTTTATAATGATAGGAGCAACGGCTTCAACTATTAAATGCTTAAAGTGTTTAAGGGATCGACATTTTCCAGAACACGTTATACGTAATATAATCTATCAAATCCTTCAAGGATTGGCTTACATGCATAAAAATGGTTCGTTTAATGCATGTGCATGCATGCATGACTTATTTTTATACATACATGCATGTTGAATTTAAGGAGTAAAATGGCTCAGTGGGTTGTTGCTTTCGTTTCGGGGCGCTATTGCTGTTTATTCTTCTACTCTCAGCAGGAGTAAACCAGAAAAACCGGATTTAAATTACTTTAAAAAAATATGAGTGCTGGTGACCCAGTTGCGCCCTAACAGAAATCTCCTGGCACGAAAAGCCAGCTGAACGAACCTAAGCGGAAATGGTGAAAGGCTCTTAGAAAAAAAAGACACCTTCCTTTATTGCGCCAGTGATATTTGTCAAGTGCGTATGGTTATTATACCTTTTTGTTTTGAAAATTTTTTTTTTGTTCATCCGGAAATAATTCTTATGCATTACAAATATTATTTAATTCCTTGCTGAATCAACAGGTTTTTTTTTTCAAAGACTTCTCACCATTACTGGTTAAACTCACTCCACTGGCTCGTCGCAATGCGCTAGGGAATCCCTTGGCAATAGAAATATATATCAATCAGCATTATCCGGATTTTTATACAGGTTTACTCTTGCGGGGAATCGAAATCGAACTTCAACCTCGGCTTTCCCAATTGAGCAACAAATCACTGAGCCATTCTATTGCCCAATCATTAAATATTACACAGGATTATTCAAGCATAAATTATAATTAAATGAATAATTATCATTGAGATTAGTTGGTGGTCATAATTCCTGGCTAAGCACCTTCTTCTGGCTATTACACATTTTGGACAAGAAGCCCTTTCGCATATAAAAGTACGCTGATAGATCAGTCTTATCGAATTTTCTTAACAACAAATTTGCTCTTGCCAGAGGCAAATTATGATGAAACAATAATTTAAGCAACAACCACTCGTCTATTTTTTACCTCGTATTTATGAATAAATTAAATTAATAATTTATAAAATAAAATTTTCTTTCAAAATCCGTTAGCAAACATATAAAATTGGGAAAATTTTCATAATTTAGGCTTTTTTCATCGCGATATGAAGCCGGAAAATATAATGTGCAACGGAACGGAATTAGTAAAAATTGCTGATTTTGGATTGGCGCGAGAAATTCGTTCAAGGCCACCATTTACGGATTACGTTTCGACAAGATGGTGCGTAACGATGGTTCATTTTTAAAGATTTTTAATAAATATTAATATTAATATTTTTAATAAATATTAATAAATATTATAAATCTTTTCCTTCATGCAATTTTGAGTAAATTTTAGTGGAAACGACTAAATTATTGGGGCATATAAAAAAAATTATAATTATAATAATTATAAATAATTTCAAATAATAATTATAAATAATTATTATTATTATTAAAAAATAATGAATAATTATAAATAATTTTTATTATGAATTTTATACGAGACTGTGTTCCATTCTTGAAGAAAAATGGAAAAGAATTTAGTTAAAATTGTCAAAATCACATCAAAATGGTTCACTTAGTTCCCTTTACTTTGACTGAGATTCAAGCATTATGGAATCGATTCCTCCTCCTTGAAAATTTTATGTGTATTGAAACTGGAATCCTGATAGGATAAATCCAGCTAACTGACCATAACCATTTCGTCTAATCTTCTAGCCAAACCAGAAATGGTGAATGCGGAGTTATAAGATGTTGTTTTTCGATCTTCGTTTATGCAAGCTGCATTATTTCCTTTCTTGTTATGATGATAAATATTTAATAAAGTTTAATTAATTAATTAATTAGCAGATTCTAAATAGCGCTCACTATTTCTGATTTCGCTGGTCTTACTGACTGATTGTTAGTGATAAGAATTTTGCAAGGTTTTCGATTAAACCAGAAATTTAAAATTATGGTTAACTAGAGAATGGTAAGAATTAGTCGATACCTCTTCACCAACTCGATAATCATTGAGTAGCATTTTTTTAAGGTATCGAGCGCCAGAAATTTTATTACGATCAACATCCTATAATTCACCAATTGATATATGGGCTATCGGTTGTATTATGGCTGAGCTATATATGCTTAGACCGTTATTTCCTGGAACCTCCGAACTTGATCAACTTTTCAAAATAATCACTCTAATGGGAACACCGAATAAGGCTCGTTTCCACTAATTTTTACGTTTCACTGAATAAAAATTCATCGTTCATCAGATTCACAAAATCGTTCGATTCGATTAAGCGGAATAAATACGTTTTTTTTTTCTATTATCACGATTCCTTTTTAAATATTTTCAATTATCCATAAAATATTATTTCTGGTTGAACTTTTTCCACTCCACTAGCATATCGGGATCGGATAAATTTTTTGCTACGAGCACATCAATCGTCGCTCAATCGCGATGCAAGTACAAATGGCTAATCAGCGCTATCCGAAAGAGTTACTCTTTTCGGAAGGAGAATCCAAGCATGCAATCTGAAATAAGAGCAATAAACAATCCATTTGTGCCATCCCTAATTCATTTCTTTATTAGAATGATTTTGCATTATTCAAATTATATTTTTTATATATTTGCATTTTTTGCATTTTTGCGTTATAGAATTTTGGCGTCAGATAGGTAAAATTCTAAAAAAAAAAGGATACATAGGAACAATAAAAAACCATTCCTAAGCAATGAATCAGGTTTTTTTTTCCTTCCTAAATCTAATAATATTTTTTTTATTATTGAAGGCAGATTGGCCAGAAGGTTATCAATTAGCCGCATCAATGAATTTTAAATTTCATCACGCCGTTCCAACACCACTTTCAACGATTATCAGTAATATTAGTGAGAATGGTTTGAAATTAATGATTGATATGATGCAGTGGAATCCTGAAAAAAGGCCTTCAGCAGTTAATGTCAGTTTTTTTTTTTCATTCATAAAAACGTTCATCATTTTTGATTAAACACGCTCCATTGACTTGTCAATTTATTGATAAAGATTGTCAACCAAACTTTTGTTAAAGAATCACTTAATTAAGGAAATATAGGTGAGTTGAAAAGCGGTATCAAATTTTTCGAAAAACAGTTCGTGGAGCCCTAAAATCGTATCCAATCCAATGAGCCATTCTAATAGTTAATTAATAGATTTATAAATATCACAATCAAAATTAGTTCACCGTCAAATAAATTTCTTAGATGAACCAAAAAATTATACATAATTCTATTAATACTCTAACGTTAGCCTAAATATACACCGATGGTACTTCACGATTTCACTGAGTTACAAAATTCAAAGAGGAAAATAAAAATAAGAAACCACCGAAAGAAAAAGCGGAAAGAAGATTCAAGAAAGAAGTTTATAGTTTTTTACAGCTGAGAAATTTAGTGTCTCAGATACAAATACTTTTTAATCGGCCAAAAGCTTTGCGCAGCAACAATAAGTCAGCCAAGCACATCGAGTCGTAAAACCAGTGCTGGCTCAACTCTTTCTGATTCAAGATTAATGGCTGTTAAAATAAAGCTACAAGATGGGCCAAGCGAAAATATGCCAGCAGCAAGTATTATTAACGAAAGAAATGTTAATCGAAATTTGCCTTTAGACAAGTAGGCTTTTTTTTTTGAATGAAATGATCTAGTCAACTTTTTATTCAAATACCTTAAACTATTATATTTGGTACTTCATTATAATTGAAATTATAAACTCAGCTTAGATTCGGATTAGCATTTTTGTATTCTAATAAATGTGCTAAGAAAGAAAGATTAATTGGCTAAGCAGTGGTCCATTTTAAGTTTTTTGTAGAAAAATATAAAAAATAAAATATAAAATTTATATAAACTTCTAAAATTTTAAGGTTATTGCTTGAAGAAAATAGGAAAAGAGATATATTACTTGACAAGAATAGTCGAACAATTAACGCCACAAAGAATAAGCCAGCTGTAAAGGAAATTTACCTCGCTAAATCTCGTTATGTACCAGGTACAATGTAACAATTTCTTTTAGCCTAAACATAGTACCAAACTATTTGTGTTAACCAATATATTTATTGAAACTAAAGGAATGTTAAAAATCAAATGCAAAATTACAGGTATGACAAATCAAGAAAATACGATTCCAACGAATAATTCGACCGGAAAACCTTCATGCAATGTCTATCGATCAGCTGTTCAAGCACGTTTCGAATATGCTTATGGTTGGTGTTTAAAATTAGTCCTTTAGCAAGTACCATTTCATTGATTGAATCTAACGAGTCTCTTCTTAATGATCAACGGTTCGCCGACGACACTCGTCGGGTTGCTTTTCATAGACACGTTTTCTAATCAGATGGGAGTAATTTTCCAGCATTCGCATCCTCAAATAAGAAAGAGTGAATACTCAAAAAGCTACCACTTCATAAATTCAATTTTCTCCTTTCGTATTTTATTTTATTTTAACCAATGCTATTTGATTCTCTCTATTCTCTGTTAAACTCTTTCATCGTTTTTCCAGTATTTTTACGAATTAAACTTTTTTTTAAAGGTTATGTTCCATCGTTCGGTTCAAAACATTTGGCTAATAATCAACAATCAAAAGCTTCAACTGGAAGAATCGATTGGACAGCCAAGTGATTCATATATATTTGGCCGTATATAATATTTTCATATTTCCATTGTTCCATTGTTCAACTACTTCATAGTTTGTGGGCAATTTCCCAACCTTTCTATAGATTTTTTTTTTTTTACCGCAAAAACCATAAGGAAGTAAATCAGTGCCTTCAACAAAATGTCAATTATGTCAAATGTCAAGTCCTTAAACATCATTTCTAACAGTGAAAGAGATCCTCTCCCATCTTCCCCATACGCAAACATCTTCACACACACCTTAAACTATTCATTATACACTCATATAGTTGAAATTTCAGATACGTTAGACAGTGATAAGTGCGCGATCAAATGAAATCGACAGATGCCTTATTCCTCCACTTTTATCTTCAGTTGATTGTAAATGCAATTTTTGTTATAAAATTCAATTTATAAACTTTATAAAAGCTTTAATAAAGCTTAATCCCGAAAAATTTTTTTTTCGCAAGCAAAAACAGACCACCGCATCTTTATTCCTCCAGATAAAATTAAATGCACAAATCATAGCTTATTGCTATAAACTGCATAAAATAATATAATGAAAGACAAATAAAAAGAGGTACAGTTGCTAAACAAAACTTTAGAGTATGTTAAGAACCTCACTGATTAAGACTGGACTTTTAACGATTCACAGAATTGTAAGTGACGAGAATAGAGTATATCGTCACTTAAAAGCAGGACAAGAGATCTAAGTGAACAATATCTTCCTGAAATATAATATAAAATTCACGATATAAAAAGGAGATCCAATCCGTGAAGTGAATTCTGCAGTTAAAATGCTCATTTCAAATAGTGGAAACTTCTTTGTCAACTTTTTCAATCCCAAAAATGGAATTTTCCCTTTGTCGTATTCGTTCACCGCGATTTTTAACCTAAATCTCACCCAACTATTATAGAAAAATGAAAAAAAAATTGAAGAAAATAGAAAATTTACTGCTAGATTATATTTTGGCATTGAACAATGAAAAGATATCGCAATATAAATAAAAAATTGAAAACCAACGTCAATGATAGTTTCACCATCACCAATACCCAGAGAAATCCGAGCAACGTAACGACAATCTGCGTCGATATCTGATGTTAACGTTTCAAGACACTTTCTAACTAAAGTTGAATCGCGACTTCCATGGAAAGCACGACCACCACGCGTTCCAGCAAGTGCCCGAGCAAAAGCAATTCGAACATTGACAACAGCTAAAAATCAAGCATAAAAATAAGTGGGTGCCATTAAATAATTTTCTTCTTTCCTATTGTGCTGGCTATAAGCAGGTTACGCCAATTTCGATAGGAAGAGGAAAGGAATATAAGTAAAATAAAATAATAAAAATTAAAAAAATTTTAAAAAATATTTCGCACTTTAATGGAGAATTTTGTTCAAATATATTCAAAAAATTTACGATCATGCATCAGCTGAACTAAATCGTCGAGTAAAAGCGATGAAAATTGGTCGTAATTTAATCTGCCATCATCCAAGCATTTTTGACAAAACAGAGCGAAACTGAAATAACGGCAAAGTGATCATACAAAATTATAATTTCTCGCACAGCTCTAATTATTTACATCTGTGACGGAAATTTAGAGAAACCAGAAAATTTAAAAACATCCTATTATGGCAAATTGACATTTGGAATCCGAAGCTGAATCACTGCTGTGAAATGATTAATAGTTGTTGTTGTGATGAGGAGAAAAGAATGTTTACGTTTGTCTTCGTTGCCAACTCATCGATCGAGCAAATGCTTTGATAATATCGTTAACAAATGATTCAGTAATTGGAATTGGCGATTCATCAGTTGATACTGACGAGCTATCCAAACACCACTCTTCTTGAACAAATTTACCCAATATACTAGCCAACAAAATTGTGCCCATCTTTCGTACATCCGCCACCTTATCTATAATTCCACTTACAGTTAAACAATGAATCGTACAAAAATGATAGGGAAATATTAAATATATTACGATAAATTTACCATTTGCCAATGTTAACGCAATGCCAGATAAGTATTTATTAAGATCATATACATCGTAGAGATCGCACAGAAGGATACACTGACTAAATAAAAAATCTATAATAAAGTAAAGCAAAAAAATGAGATATATTATTTCCTGACATAATAGCAAAAAAACTACAAAGACCTCGCATATTCATGTCTAAATCGCCAGTTGATATCATTTCCAGTAGTAGAATGTAGAAATGTAGCAAGTGTTGTTAATAAATTGCTACGAGTTCCACTAGGCAATAACTGAAATTTATAAAAAAATTAAAATGAATTTAAGCCATAAATTTTCCAGCAAATCCAGTTTTAATGAAAGAAAAAGGCATACCTTGAAAAAATCATATAAATGGTTCAACAAAACCAATCTGACATCTTCGATATCTTTCATAAACATCTCAAAGGCGGGAACGAGATATTTCGCTGAATTTTCTTCACCGATTATTGCAGCTACTTCATGGATTGATGACGCTAACGATAGTCGAACACGACACTAAATTTTTCAGAGGTCATTTATTCCTAAAATGCATAAAAATATAAAAATTTCATTTAATTTCATTTAATTAACCTGAACATCAGTTGACAAATGTATGTAAGCCTCTTTAATATGTGGCCAGTTCTCCCTTCCAATTGTATACGCGATCGCCGGAAAATTGTGTGCACAAAGATAACTTATATCAATAGAACTGCACGATGAAGCAATTTTAACATAACTTTCGATTAATTCCTTGGGAATATTCAACTGAAATTAGACAAAAATAATAGCTAATCCAATGCTAAAATTTCATATTTCATATTTTGATATAAAAAAAAACCTCTGAATCAAAAAAAGTTTCCCCACATTTTAGGACGCTTCTGTTTTCCAAAAAAAGAGCGCTACCTTCCTCAAAATCGGTTTTGCCCCGCGAGTGTGGATAATCCATTTCCCCAAGTTCTATCTAAAAATATTAAATTAAACCACATGTCAGAAAACTGCAAAAATACTAATTTAATAAATTTAAATTAATTATTTTATGCTATCTACTAAATAATTTAAATTCGAAGTTTTAAAATAAGATAAATTTACTTTAATGCCATTATTTTTCAAATTAGGATAAAATGAATCCAAAAAACGAAAAACAGATGAAAACGAATTTGTCCCTGAATTCTTCCGACCATAATAATTTACATCTATATCAACGAAATCTGTTTTCCAATATGAATATTCACTGTAACCAGACATTTCATCCTTAAAAAAACAGTCTATTGTAAATAGTCTACTTAATAATAAAAATTTATAGTAATTAATTGTAATTAATTTTCAATTTTAAGATTATTGAATAATAACATGTTTTACTCCTTCTTTCAACTCGTTCGATGCTGTGGTCTTTTCTTCATCGTTTACTTCTTCTTCAAACATAAATTGAAATCCATCAACATCTTCTTCAACAAATAACTTCGAAAGATCGGTATGTGTTGTGCAAACAGCGGCCGCACTTTCATGAAACATCTTCCTACAAAAAAAAGGAAGATATAAAAATTTACAATCTTAAATTGTTTTAGATCACAATAATCAAAATGAAAAAAAATATAATTTGTTGGCAAATTTTTCTGAGATAATTATCAAAATTCTTCTTTCAACATTATTTGAAAATATCTGAAAAAACTAACGTTTCTAACAAAGCGACGGCTTTTTCCGAATTTTTTCGCCACTGATTTGCATTCCATTTGTTTAATAAGCTAGTTAATTCGTTAACAATTCTAAAATATTTTGATAAAATATTTTGCATAAATATTTTGCAAGACTAAAAATAATTAGCAAGCATGAGTATAAAATTCTTTTCTGCAAAAATTAAGCAAAAAAAATTTTCTTGCGCAGATCAGAAAATGAAAAAGAAAATTTTACGATTTTACAATTTCTCAAGGGAATGAAAGTATGAAAGCTTGGTGCGTAAGATTATTATCAGGCTCGGGCTTTTTGTTTCCCTCACTGCATAAAATCTGTTCTTAAAAAGTACTGGCTTAGTCAATGAACTTTGCTTAGCCGTTATGAAGTTTCTCCTTGGAAAAATTTCATGTCAACAGTCCACGGCTAAGCTAAACAGAAATGGTGAGTGCTAACCATCTAATCACTTACATTTCAGTGGATGCATAAGATTCTGTTTTTCTCCCGCGACGTGGCAGATAAAGTGGAATAAATCCAACCAGTAAATGAGTAAAATCAATATTATCAATGAAATCTTCTTTTAAAATATCACTGCCTTCAACATGATTATTTTCAGCTGAAAACAAAAACAAGATAATCTGATCTTATTTATTATTTCAACAATAAGTTAGAAATAAATTTTTATTGAAAATAACGATTAAAATGTACCATCAAACGCGGGACTTCGTGTTGAGCAAATCTGACCTGTATCAGCAAATGTGGCAATAAAAGGCCCTAAATTTTCGAATGCTGCTCGAACCACCTAAAAAATGGGAAAACAATAGAAAAACAATATGAACTTTCCTCTAATAAAAATTAGAAATTGAAAGAATAAATGCATTTTCAATATTTTCACCCATCGAGCATCATCATATAGCAATGTGATGAAAAGTGGTGCAAGTCTGAGTTCCCTTGTTTCTGCAGTACAAAGTCTGGATATTTCTGGAATAATTTCGCAGCATGACCCACGATTCGACCAACAACGATCATCTATAGCCAATGTCAGTAAGTATGGCACAGAAAACTGAAAAAAAATTCCAAACATATATATATATATATAACAAAGCGATATAACCGTTACAAAAAAATGCCATAATTAAAATTCAACAAGATGAAAGAAAGAAATAATGAATTATTTCCATCAATGAATAAAATCGCTTTCAATGGCGAAATTTTACCGAGCATCGAATGCCTTTGTTTGCTCAGATTAAAGATTCTCATAACCCTCAAAAAATTATTTCCGCTTATTCCAAAATACACAAATTGCTGCCATATTTCCATGCCAACCATTAAAAAAATATGAAATTTTCCAAAAAAAACCAACCTCTTCGGTGAATTTCTGCCCAAGTAATGCTGATATTTTCGGTAGTAATAGTATGAGTTCCTAAATTTAATAATAAATGAAACTGTTTGCTTAATTAATTACTCTTTGTCTTGCAAATCAAAAAAAAAATTTAATGTTGTTAAATGAATGACGAGTGGTGTATGACATTTTATCGTAACACAAAAAAGGTGGAAAGCGAGTGAAGAGAAATGAAGAAAAATTTTTGAAAAATTGAGCATAAAGCGAAAAATGTACAGCTGTTGCCCGATTACGCTTTTACGATGGGAAAGTACAAAACCATTTTTGACCGAAATAATGACTGCAATTTAATGTAAGAAAAAAAATGACCTATTTCCGTAATTTAAAAAAAAAACAAAGATTAAAGAGAAAAAGAATTTTAAGAATTTTATATTTGTACTCTTCTATTCTATTGAATGTGGTACTTCATATCTTTCCATATTCTCTAATTTTTCAACTTTTTTTTTCCAGTTTCACTCTCATAAACAAATGAAAAGAATGAAACAGACCTTCTTTATTCGAATGGTTTTATTATGTAGTAGTTGAACATAGGGTGGAAGGAAACTCTCCGAAATCCACCTTTTCGATAATTCATCACCTTGATATTCAATTATTTTACTTATTAACTGAAAATTATACGCAATAAAATATTTAAAATTTCAATACAACCGAATTTTTTTTTTGCTAATCAATCAAAAAAATGCTTTTCTTTTGCGATAAAATTGTCTCTAATCGCGACTGCTAATTTTTACTTGGATGAACTTGAATAAAGATAAAAATAAAATCACATTTAATAAACAATCCATATAATAGTTTTATAAAAAGGATATATAAATATATGTACGTATGTGGATGACAGCAAATACAGCACATCAAAGCTGGCTGTGATATGAATTTCAATCAACAACAAATCACCACCACTTTGACGAGCTGCAAAATACTGATTACTCGAACAATAGTTTTTTTTAAAAAACAGTTGATCATAATAAAATGAGGAAAAAATAGTTAAAATTTATTATTCCTACTTAATCACTTAAATGAAGAAAAAAGAAATTACAAGAAGAAATGAAAAAAATTTAACAACATCCAAAACGCCCAACTATTTAAATAAAAGAATTTTTATAAGTAAATTTATAAGATCGAGTGAGGAGAATGATTAGTAAGGAAGAAAGAAAGAAAGTTCACTGACAAGAAAAGAAGGGAAGAAAATGGACTGGAAAAAAGGGTAACAGCTGTTCTCTTCTATAAAATTCCATTCTCTTCAGCATCCATTTGTCCCTTGCTTATAAGTTTTCTTTTTTGTCAAATTTTTCAAATAATAAATTTTGAAGAAATTTAAAAAAAAATTTTTTTTGAAGCATCGCAACAAAACGTGTCAAAAGAAGGAGGAAAAAGGAAAAAAAGGAATAAGAAAAGAAGAAATAAATTAATCAATATTAAATAAACGGCAAAATAAGGAGAGAAGCAAGAGGAATAAAAAAATACTATACGACGAAAAAAACCATTATTCATATACTGGCATGCGAAACAATAAAATAAAAAACCTATCGGGCTCTTATGAACCAAAAAAAAGCAGAAAATAACGGACATCAGCCAAAAAAAGTGGCCAAAAAAAGTGTTGTTTTCTCCTTCTTTTGTTTAGAAATTATAAAATTTGAAAATAAAATCTAAAATTTAAAAAAGTGGGCTCCTGAAATAAAGAACTCATACATTTACTTTATGCTTGAGGAATTTTATGAGCGAAACAAAAGCAGCAAAAACAAAAAGGTGAAAAACAGAATAGTGATACGAATTTTTAAATTTAACGTCTCACTACCCATGTCTTTCAACTCTTCATCTGCTTACTTCATTCGATTTTCATACTTTTCACATTTCCTAATAATAACTCCCACTATTTCTCATTAGGCACACTCTACTGGTTACGCTAAGATCGTTTTATCAAAGAATTACTTGAAGAATTACTTTAGAGACTCTTCATTATTTTTCAAATCTATGCTTTTTGCTTTTATCAGTCGAAACAATTCAGCATTTTACCCATACTTTCGCTTTTTTACAAACAAATATAAGAAATAAATAAAAAAAGACAGTTTCAAAACAAGTGCAAAAATAAAAAATAGACAAATTAAACAAAAAATGTGCAAATAGAAATATTAACAAATATAACAAATACCAAATAAAAAAAAATTTTTTTTTTATTTTTAGCCATATTCATTCATCGATCATCATCATACATAAATTAATATGTGAACTGCCCTTATTCCCATAAGTTTGCTTTTTGAACTGTGGTTCTATCAAAAAAATCTCTCAAAATTTCGTTCTTCACTAAAACAAAAAGATTAAATAATCCTATTAATGGAATAGAACGATATTTCGCCAAAATATTATAATTCGTCATGTTCAATTACTTTATCAACATAAAACTTCAACTTTAATTTAGCACTTGCTATAAACACATTAAAACTTCATTCAACATGAAGTTCAACATAATTCAAATACCAAATATTAACATAATTCCCGTCTTAACATAATTAAATCCCACATCAGTTTCTTAGCAATTTATAATTTACATAATGTTAGAATCTTACGGTTATTATTAATCTTAATACTATTATTATTATAATTATTATTATTATGCTACAATTATTATCATTATTGCCAATTATTATAATCATTATTATAGCAAAAATAGAGATAACAAATAAAGATGTATTGCAACAAAATTAATCGTAAAAAGATGCGTTAAAAATGCTAAAATATAGACGAAATAAACAAGCAATTAACGAATTAAAATAATAATCGAAATCGTTCGCCGATTTTCAACGAATATACGAGAAATGCAGAAAAAAAAGAAGAAAAGAAGAAAAGAAAAATGGTGGGAAAAGCGAAGAACTAAAATCTAAACAAAATAAACAAATACGCAGAAAAACGATGAAAATCTTACCAAAATTGAATTAAGCCGCAAAATATCATCAACGATAAGCTTCTTCTCAATCTCTTTTAATTCCTCCTTATCAGTAATCTTATCATCTCCAATATCACTGGATGATAAATATTCAAATAATAATTTTCGACAAATTAAATCTTGTAAATACTCTGAAAAAAAGGCTGATATTTTATGCAGTCAATTAAAGAAAAACTAATGCGAATCCATTAAAGATAATGAATCATTAAAGGCAAAATATAAAACCTTAGATTTGAAAAATCATTATCAAAATTAATCTGAACAGATTTTAACCTTTGACCTTGGGGTAAGAAATAAAGCGAAAATTTTCAAAATCACGAAAAAAGCAACAAGAAAACGAGAAAAAGCCCATAAAAATCAATACAAAGAATGACAAACAAATGAAGCCAATAGAGATGAAGAAAAATGACAATAGCGGCGTTCGCACTCGGAAAGTTCCAATCCGCAAGGCACCAACAACGGCACCACTTACACCACAAAATTTCGTCATTTGCTGCCCTGTTTGTTAGAATATAGAAAATGAAAGAAAAACTCGCACACTTCACATTATTGATTTATTGATTTCTCTGGCTCGTGATATTTTCGTATTCCTCTATTTCTTTGCTTCAAGCAGATACCATGTGCATTCAAAACGACCTTTCCTCGTCTAGCATCCCCTCCCACAACTATCCCTCAATATTCCTTTGTTCTCTATTACTACCTCATTCTTAAGTGGTTTATCGCAATGTCGCATAATCCTTGTATCACTCACTCGTGGTGCTATTTCGCGCCAGTTTTTATTTCTAATTCTCTTCTAGGAATTTCTTTTCTTGATACACGACAAAGAAAGACAAAGAGAGAAAGATTAGTGCAAGAAAGGACAATAATAATGGAAGACGCCATTCATTGCACCATTCCAAATTAAACGAGTGGCGGGAACCATTAGCAGGGTTGAAGGTCACCACAGAACTCGTGTGTGGAGAATTAAGTACATGGCTTTCATGGTGACTTGGAAGGTGGAGAAATCGGAAAACGCTGCGCGCGAGTAATTAAACTGCTAGAAAAAGGGTTAAAGGTTAATTGAGGACTTTCAATGAAGAAGTACCATTCAAAGAGTCGAAGATTCAAAAAGAAGAAAACCAGCTGGAACACCTAAACAAACCAAAGATCACCAAAAAATCAATCTTCAAAGTTGTAAAGAATTTAATAGATTAAATCAATTTTTAAGAGAGAATAACCAGTTCAGGAGAGGACAATTACTCCGATTATCGAAAAATGATGATTGTTCAAGCACTGAAGTGAAAAGAAGGACCGTTTCAACTGTGAAAGTGGTGCAGGAGGAGGAGGAGGAAGAGGAGGACGAGAAGAAAGAAGACAGATTGGAAGACGAAAAATTATTTCGAAAATTAATAGGATTGATGGAAAAGGAAAAATTAAAGGAATACAAATTTGCAAATAATTTTTAATTTAAAATTTATCAAAAAAGGATGTAAAAATTGAAATAAATAATAAAAATTGAAATTGATTACCTGCAGGAATAATGCGTTGCTCGACAAGTTTTCCAATGACATTAAATGCCGTTTTACTCACCTGCAATAAGTAATTATAAAATTATTAACGACATTACCTCCTATTTGTCCCAGCCTCAACTTGCGTTTATAATTGCCCCAGTCACTTTTGTGCCATAACTCTTGCGTTTATAATTGCCCCAATCACTTTGTGCCATAACTTATACTTATAGAAAATGGCCGCGGCCGCGCTTTTTTCCCTTAGCAAAATTTCCGCAGCTGTACGAGCGTCTTAACTACTAAAAATCGCTCGCAGAGCAGGAATGATAATTTTTTCGACA